TGCTTACGATTGGAACGAATACCGCAAGGACAAGGAAATGGGTACTGCTAGTTTCGCATTGGACAAGCTTGAACAGGAGCCTTCGCACGAAGGCATCTACTTGGAAGTGCAAGCTAGTGGCCGTCACCGCGGTGCCATTCAAGCCGATATCCGATTCTTCCCCGTTCTCGAAGGCCGCAAGTCGGAGAGCGGCGAGGCGGAGCCCGCCCCTGAACTCAACACCGGTATTGCTCAGTTCACTGTCGAACAGGCCAAGGATCTGGATGGAAGCAAGAGTCTGGTTGGCAAGCTGAACCCCTACGGTGTTCTGCTTCTGAACGGCAAGGAGATCCACATCACGAACAAGCTGAAGCGCACCAACAATCCTATCTTCCAGAATGCCTCCAAGGAGTTCCTCGTCACGGACCGCAAGAATGCCCGTCTGGGCCTGATCATCAAGGATGACCGTGATCTTATGGCCGACCCCATTATTGGCCGCTACCAGATTAAGATGAACGATATGATTAAGATGATGGACCGTGGCCAGCAGTGGTTCCATCTCCACGGTGCCAAGAATGGTCGCGCCAAGATGATGTTGCAGTGGAAGCCTGTTGCGCTGGGAGGCATCGGTAGTGCCGGATACATCGACCCCATCGGTGTCATGCGTTTCCACTTCAAGAGTGCTTCGAACCTGCGCAACCTGGAGGCCATGGGCAAGTCTGATCCCTACGCTCGTGTGCTGCTTTCTGGTATAACTCGCGGCCGTACTGTTACTTTCCGCAACAACCTTAATCCCGAGTGGGATGAGGTCGTGTACGTCCCTATTCGCAGCGCTCGCGAGAAGCTGACTGTGGAGGTCATGGACGAGGAGAGTATCAACAAGGACCGAACTCTTGGTTGGTGCGATCTCAATGCCTCCGACTTTGTCCGTGAGACCGAGACCGGCGAGTATGAAATAGATGATGAGAAGCAGCCTATCAGCAGCCCTCTCAAGATCAGCGGTGGTTCCCCCAAGGGTGTACTCCACTACACTGTTGCTTTCTACCCCACTATTCCTGTCGTCAACCCCGAGGACGAGGAAGAGGAGGAGGAAGAGTCCGATGCCCTTGGTGCTTCTGGCCCTGACGATACTCGGAAGAGCACCGATTCCAAGGTTAGGAGCAAGCACGCTAAGTCTGCTAGCATTGACTCCAAGGCTTCCAAAGCCTCGAAGGCTCTGTCCAATGGCACCGCTCCTAACGGCACTACCAATGGCGATAATAGCGCTAGCCGTAACAGTCTGGAAACAAATGGTTCGCGGCCTGCTACTGGACCCTTGTCTGAGACCGCATCTGTGCGGTCGATCAAGTCCATTCCCCGGACTTTCGTCAGTGCGGAGGATCTGGAGAAATATGGTATGTCTTATATGATTGGCTTTTGTCTTTTCACTGCTAACTTCTATAGAATCCGGTTTCATCGTGTTTAAGTTCCACGAGGGCCAGCTGGCTCATGCTAATGTCCAGCTGGAGGTCGTGATGGATGACTACATGTTCCCCGCATATGTCTCATCGAAGATTCACACCACAACTGCCAAGTTCACTGATGTCGGCGAGGCTTTCGTCCGTGAGCTCGAGTTCTCCAAGATCACCCTGCGTCTCGTCCACAAAGATGACCCCAGGGATTCCAGTGAGGAGCACACTGTCGCTAAGCTCACCGGCGACACCCTGCCCACCCTCATGCGCATACTGTACACTCCCACTGAGCTTGTCCTCCGCTCCAACTCCGGTGAGGTGAGCAAGGTCACTGTTAGTGCCCGCTACATCCCCACCCAGATGAAGCTCGACCCAATTGAGAGTATCAACAATATGGGAACCCTGCGTGTTGACATCCTTGATGCCGCCGAGCTCCCCGCCGCCGACCGCAACGGCTTCAGTGACCCTTACTGCAAGTTCCGCCTAGGCGACGAAAGCATCTTCAAGACAAAGGTGCAAAAGAAGACCCTCCACCCAGCCTGGAACGAGTTCTTCGAAACCCCCATCAAGTCTCGCATTGGTGCCAACCTCCACCTCGAAGTCTACGACTGGGACTTTGGTGACAAGTCTGACTGGCTTGGCGCTACTCCAATTGATCTCGAAATGCTCGAGCCCTTCCAAGCACAGGAAGTTTCCCTGCCCCTGGACGGCAAATCCGGCGTTATCCGCCTGAAGCTCCTCTTCAAGCCCAGCTACGTTATACGCTCCCGCCAGGGCTCCTCCACCTTCTCAGGTACCTTTGCCGTCCCCGGCAAGATTGTCGGCGCCCCCGTCAAGGGTGTCGGCTTTGTTGGCGGCAACGTTGTCCGCGGCGCCTCCTTCCTGAAGCACGGCCTCATGTCCCGTCTCCACAAGGACAAGGGCGAAGACGCCGCTTCAATCATGAACAGCATCGAAGAGCCCGAAGCCAAAGGCGACCGCCTAACTCCCGCTGCCTCCATCGCTGAAGCCCCCACCCCCAACGCCAACGGCGCCTCCTCCCCAAGCAGTCCGAAACGGGAACACAGCCGCAACCGCAGCACGGCCTCCCAGTTTGGCGACCGTCTCAGCGTCTTCGGTGGCAACAGTAGCCGTGCCGACGCAGGAACGGCTAACATCACCGTCGTCTCGGCATCCGGATACCCCACGTCGGCCAATGTGCGCGTTATCGTCAGCCGCCCAACCTCACGGGGCACAAAGGAACTCCACAAGACGAAAGCCCACAAGAACTCCTCCGGCAGTGTAACCTACGACGACTCTTTCCGCGTCCCCAACATCACCGCCGACAAGCAATACTCCATCAAGGTTGTCGACCACGCCACCTTCGGCTCGGACGAGGTCCTCGGCGAGGGGGTCTTCTTCGTTGACGATCAAGGTTCAGTCGCCGGCCAAGATAAGACTATTTCCGCTGGCGAGGGCGAGGTTATTATTCGCTCTAGCTTCGTGCAGTCCGAGTCCACTGTCAGACCGACTACCTCGCATTCGACTGCCGGCGCTAGTGATATCTCCGAGGGCGCCGAGAGTCCTGATTCTCGGAAGATGCCTCGCAGGAGCTTCTTGAGCAAGAGGGGTGGCGAGAGGAGTGTTAGTGGCGCGTAAGCCTCAATTGAGTTGGGATGAGATGAGGAGAGAAAGTCTCTGTTGGTGGAGAGTATATGAAAATATGATTTTCTTTTTGTCACATTGTTTACGTCTTTGCTTGTTGTTTCTGTTTGTATGCTGTTCTGGTGATATCCTTATTTCGTCTTATTCTTTTTGGCTGGGTTCTTACTCTTACCCCTTTTTCACTCTGCTACTGTGTTGAGCTAGATTATAATCTAGAAAGTGAAATGGAATGGTGTAAGAACCTTTACGAGTGTGGCTTGAGGTCCGATAGGGAATAAAGTAGATAGAGGCGAGCATAGCCCTATTTTAAGAAACTAATACGGAGTTCAGCCCCAAAAAGAAAACCTCACTATGGAGTACTGTATTGACTATTGAGGCTCTAGAGCATTATGTCTCGTCCTCCCTGATCGGCAATCCACGATGCTATACAAAATTAGTCGGGTCTTACCCCTAAGGCTGAAAAAGCCAAGACCTAGAAGAAAATGATCAATCAACACCCAGTGCTTCAACGCCATGTCTCAGACATTCCACACACTAACGCGGAACCTATCGTCCGCGAGGCTAATGTCAACTAGCTTGTTCTATTTGACCCTAGATATTACTGTATACCACTAATATTGTAACTAAGTTAATAATAATAGTACATGTATATGTATGTAATTTGGTACATCATCACACGTATTAAAGTACATACTGAAAATGTAGATATTGACTGTTGACAGCTTGGACCCCGGCGTGAACCCTTTCCCGAAAGTTTCCTGCACAGCCCAGAGATGATCTTTGATCTGCGGGGGTACGTGTTCTCTACAGTATGTATATGTAGATGTGTACTTGAGCTGAGCAGAGGATACGAGTATAGATACGAGGATATGTACCGGTAGCCATATGTACAGTACATGTACATTAAAGTCAAAATAAATTGAAGAAATCTGATATGAGACATATTCCAGAATGAAAATGAAAAGAAATCAAGTATTTTTAGTGTTGGGAACCTTGGAAGTGTTGGTACATGGTGGGGGTGTAATTTTGTTAGTCCCACACTTTTAGTCTAGACTACAGTGAATAGTGAACAGTGAACAGTGAACAGTTGAGGGTTAAGGGTTAAGTTACATTTGGTAGGGTCTACAGATACAGTGAGTAGACAGTAGAATTATTCTATTTTTTATTTTGCTGGTTTTATTCGTAGATACTTACGTTCACCGGTACTAATGTTACTTGTGTACCTGTGCACATGTACCAGCTGCATTCGGAAGTGTGTAGGTAAATAATTCACCCCTTTCAACGGTCCAACATTCCACGATATAATTAGCCCAAACGTGGCGAATCGGCAGGTGGTGAACCGAATGCCATTGAAGCCGAAACATTCGAGTCTGAAACTGCTCCAGTGCTAAGGGAATTAACCGGAGCTTGCATGGTGGGGCGTGAGGTTGAAAAGGGGGTCTGGACTGGTGTCCTCCGGTTAACAGTTGAGGCTGCAATGGCAATAAGCTGTATGAGCTTCAATGAGCTGCAACGAAGCTGCAATGAAGCTGTGTAGCTGTATCTAGTTGTAGCTGTAAGTATGTATGTAGCTGTAGCTGTATCTGTGGCGGTCTGAATACAGTGCGCACTGAGCTGTAGTAGCTGAAAACAGGGGAATGACGGCCAGAGATTAAATACCTTGACATATCACGGGATCCCCCACCTCTCCTTTATTATTTACATCTTCTCTCCTTCCTCCTCTTTTCTCTCCATCCTGCACTTCATATTCTGGTGAGTTCTGTTTGGTCGCACCGTCCCCTGCTTTGCCAATGACGGCAGCTTGACATCTTGCTTTTCCGAGATCGACAGTGGCAATTCCCCCCTCCTCCTTTATCTTAAGAGCCACCTTCCCTCCTACAGTTTCACTGATTCCAGTTCAGCAGTATCTTCCTTCTATAATTCATAATGGCCTCCAAGGCGATTCCTACTCATCTCCGCGCCCCTGTCGACGGTAACGACTTTGGTGGAAAGCACCACGGCAAGTCTCAGTCGCACATGGTAAGTGCCCAATCGTGGTTTCCAATGGGGTTGACTGGACTGTGGAGCTGTCAGCTTCACATTCCTTGCCTTCTATCGCATTTCTTTCTATCGCATTCATATACCTCGTTATGGCTTTATCCAACCCACTGACTCGTGTTCACTCTCACCAGGCTTTCGAAAATGCCTCCACTAGCGTTGCTGCGTCACAGATGCGTAATGCCCTCAATGCCCTGGGCGACAGCGTGACCGACCCCAACGAGAAGAAGCGCTTCGAGGCTGAGATGGACAACTTCTTCGCTCTCTTCCGCCGTTTCCTCAATGACAAGGCCAAGGGTAACGCCGTCAACTGGGACAAGATTGCCCCTCCCCAGCCTTCCCAGGTGGTCGCCTACGATGACCTCGGTGCTGATGCCAACGTTGAGTTCCTCAACAAGCTGGCTGTTGTCAAGCTGAACGGTGGCCTCGGTACCTCCATGGGTTGCGTCGGTCCCAAGTCCGTCATTGAGGTCCGTGAGGGCATGTCCTTCCTCGACCTGTCTGTCCGCCAGATCGAGCACCTCAACCGCACCTTCAACGTCAACGTTCCTTTCGTTCTCATGAACTCCTTCAACACCGACCAGGACACCCAGTCCATCATCAAGAAGTACGAGGGCCACAACGTCGACATCATCACCTTCAACCAGTCCCGCTACCCCCGTATCATCAAGGACTCCCTCCTCCCCGCCCCCAAGAGCTTCGACGCCCCCCTCCAGGACTGGTACCCTCCCGGTCACGGTGACGTTTTCGAGTCCCTGTACAACTCCGGTACCCTCGACCAGCTGATCGAGCGTGGCATCGAGTACATCTTCCTCTCCAACGCTGACAACCTCGGCGCTGTTGTGGATCTCCGCATCCTCCAGCACATGGTTGACTCCCAGGCCGAGTACGTCATGGAGTTGACTGACAAGACCAAGGCCGATGTCAAGGGTGGTACCATCATTGACTCCGATGGCAAGGTCCGCCTGCTTGAGATCGCTCAGGTTCCCAAGGAGCACGTCAACGAGTTCAAGTCCATCAAGAAGTTCAAGTACTTCAACACCAACAACATCTGGATGAACGTCAAGGCCATCAAGCGTGTTGTTGAGGAGAACGAGCTCGAGATGGAGATCATTGCCAACGAGAAGTCCATCCCTGCTGATAAGAAGGGCGAGGCGGACCAGGCCATCTACCAGCTCGAGACCGCTGTCGGTGCTGCCATTCGTCACTTCAAGAACGCCCACGGTGTCAACGTTCCCCGTCGTCGTTTCCTGCCCGTCAAGACCTGCTCCGATCTGATGGTCGTCAAATCTGACCTCTACCGTCTCGAGCACGGCCAGCTCGTCATGGACCCCAACCGCTTTGGTGGTGTCCCCGTCATTAAGCTGGGCTCTGACTTCAAGAAGGTCTCTGACTTCCAGAAGCGCATTGCCAGCATTCCCCGCATCGTCGAGCTGGACCACCTCACTGTTACCGGTCCTGTAAACCTCGGCCGCAATGTCACCCTGAAGGGCACCGTCATCATTGTTGCCACGGAGGGCAGCACCATTGACATTCCCCCAGGATCCGTTCTGGAGAACTGCGTTGTCCAGGGTAGCCTGAGAATCCTTGAGCACTAGATTTGATAAACCGTTTGCCTGGTATTTGCCAGGTCTCTGTTTGATTTGACTTGCTCTGGTGCATCGAGGCTATGGATTCAGGGTGCAAAAGAAGTACTTGTATTACTTTACAATAATCCAGCGTCTTTTTTCTTTCTTATTTGATTGTTTTGGGTCTTGGGTATTGGACTCCTTTCTTTGATTTCCCCAAGTACTGTCACGGTCCTGGTCTATCCTCAATGCATCTCAGTTTATTCATTCGTTTCAATTGTACATTGTAGTACTCCGTATGGGCATCGGCTTTTTTTTCCCCCGGCCAAATATCATCATATAGAACCCGAAATATGGTTAATGTGGGTAGAGCTCGTGATGGTCTCACTCACAGCCGCAACCATACGGAACGACTCATCAATTCCACTTCTCACCTTTCCATCATCAATTTCCATCCAGAACATAGCCACCATAGTTAGACAAGGTGATAGGCGGGTAAAAATTCCTAGTGATCTCAATCAACGTCATATTCAGGCAATACGAGCCACCGGATTTGCCCTAAACATCAGGAAAGAAGACCCAGTCCCGGTAACCTGTCAACCACCAGTTCATATACTTCGATTCATATCTGATCCTTGATACCCGGACTTCATACTTCCAGTCGATATGAAGTCCTGATCTTGTACAGCTACCTTCCTCATTCTTTATTCTTTATTTTCATTCTTTGCTCTGGTTTCTTTCATTTTTTTGTGTATATCTGCATCCTCTGAGTACATATCTCATTTTCACATATTTTCTTTTCGACCGTACATATTTCATTGATTTTTTGTCTTATACTCACATACAGTTCTCATATTCACATACATCCATCCATCGCATCGGTGCAATGACCGAGTCATATCGTCCGCTTGTACCAGGTCACTCGCCTACTACCGATGATCATGACCACGACCACGACCACGACCACGACCACGACCACGACCACGATAACGACCATGGAAGTCCCGCTCCTGATGAAGGGAAGGGATCAAGTGGGACATGGAAGAAGAGGGTTTCAACGGCTTGTTTGGCCTGCAAGAAGTCTAAACGAAAGGTTGGTCTATTTACCATTAACATCGATCTATACATGCATCCATATCAATCCACCTACCTATCCCAACCCAACCAACCAACCAACCAATTACTAACTCGAATATACCATCCATACAGTGCTCCGGCACGGCCCCCTGCACAAACTGCGTAACCTTCAAAAGAACCTGCATCTTCGACGAAAGCCTCGACCAACGTCGCCGCGTCGCCGCAAAACGCACAGCCGACGAACTAAGTTACCACCGCGACCTCTTGCAAGATCTGTTCAAGTTAATCCGCGAAGCCAATGAATCACATGCTCTACAGTTGCTAGATATTATCCGGAATAACGCGCCGTCGGATCAGATTCGGGCGTTTATTGAGGAGACGCTTTCTGGGCTTTCGAAGAATCAAGTCAATCCGGCACTGACATCGGGATCAGTTCCAGCATTGACGTCGACATCGGGATCGATATCGGGATCGACGTTGACGTCGATATCGACAAAAGCCGAAACTGAAAAAGAAACAATTTCCAAATTGGAAGATATGCGCGATCTGATCAACGTCGAAGGGTCAAGTCCGACTATCAGACGGAAGGTTATGGATATTCATTACCTCTGCGACGATGCGCCGTGTTCTGTTCCGGCGAAGCCATGGACGAATGTCACGCAAGATGCAGATCTGGTGTCTCATCTTGTGTCGTTGTATTTTGCTTGGGATTGGCCGCTTAATGCGTTTTTGGATCAGGGGGTCTTTTTGAGACATATGGCTTGTGGTGATTTGGGGTCTGAGTTTTGTTCGCCGTTTTTGGTCAATGCTGTGCTCAGTAATGCTTGTGTGAGTTCTTTCTTGCTTTTGGTATTTGGTGTGGCTGGCGGGGGATGTGGTTGCGTTTGTGGGTGTGTTGCTGATTTGTTCATGATTCTTGTTATAGTATTTCTCTGAGTTCTCTGAGGCTTACGTTGTTCCTGGGGATATCTCTTCCAAGGGGAGTGATTTTCTTGCTGAGGCTGAGAGGTTACGAAGTGAAGAGCCGGAGCAGCCTAGTTTGGCGGGTTTGCAGGGGACGTTGTTGATGTATGAGAGGTACGTATTGACCTGATATTCACTATTCACTTTTCACTGTTCACTGTCCATCGCTGATGGTGGAAGGTATGCCATGTCTCGCGAAGACGATCTCGGATATATCATGCTTCACCAGGCCATTCGAATGGGCGAGTCACTCGGACTGGTGGGCAGTAAGGGTCCCAGGTTGGGATTCAGTGAATTATCCCAGGACATGGACATATCGTGCAAAAGAACAGCATGGGGATTATTCAACGTCGATACGTAAGTGGTACTATACTATCCCTCACATTGCAATGGTACTTATCGCCATGCAGGATGGTTCACACAGGCTTCCTCCGTCCCAGTCTGATCGACCATGTCAATATGATCCGCATCGACCGCAACGTCACCGAAGACCAAGTTCGGTGGCAACCTTATCCAACCCATCGCGAGCCTCGCCCGTCGTTGTTTAGCCAGTATTTCGATGAAGCGTGCAATCTGTCCACGATCGCACGTGATATCTCGCGCAGTATGTTCGCAGACTATCGGACAAATAATACCACTGGATCCATTCAACTCCAAAGTCGAGAAGAGTTATATGACCGTATTCGTCGGTGGCATGATCTCCTTCCGGTCGACTTTGACGAGAAGTCTCGCCCAGCTCCGCATATCATCTTGCTGAAGTATGTGAATATCATCCCCTTTAGACCTTACCTTTACCCTAACTAACCGTATAGAATGCGCTACCACGCCTTGATAATCAACCTTTTCAGCTGCATCTCGGATGACGAAGTCCCCCTCCCCGCCTTCGAGCCCAAAACCCCAGAAAGCCCACCCCGACACACCCCCGAGCCAAAATACAACGCCGGCGAAGTAACCCAAACAGCAGCACGCGGCATCGCAGCCTTAACCCGCCTGCATCGCCGCGAGTTCGGTGTCAGTCGAGCCCACCATTTCGCCATGTATGCGATGAACCTGGCGTTGTTCATGATGCTGGAACAAAGCACCTTCGACGTCCTCGACGAGGACTTCCTCTCGCTTGCGAGTGCCTTCTCCGTGGTCGCGAGTCGCTCCGCTTTAGGTCGGAATCTTTTTCATATTTTCCGGCAGTCGGTTCGGGCGAAGGCGCAGGGTCATCGGATTCGAGAGGCTGTTGCTGTTCCCGATGAATTGAAGGATTTGTTTGATGAGGATTCTTCTGCGAAGGGTCATAGTCGGTTTGATGATTATGCCGAGGGGTTGGAGAAACTTAATCGCGATGCCAAGTATCATGGGATTGGGGGTGAGGGTGTGCTTGGACTGCAGGATTATCCTGGGCTTGGACTCTCGGACATGCTGGATCGCTATGAGAGTTTGAGCTTGGGTAAGGATGATGTGTTGGCTGAAAGGTGTCGACCTGCTGGGTGTTGAGATATACCTGTTATACTGGGTATGTATAGATCCAAGTGGCGAAATGGTTCTGATCTCATACTTTGTATAGATCGGCTGCCAGGATTGACCAGCAATGACCACCCGTTAAAATTTACCCAGGTCGATGGAACACGTTACCCCAGCTTGTTCCACGGCAAACCCAAGTTACCAACTCACCGATTCATCTGGCGTGAAGCCGGTTGGTCGAAATATGCCGTCTGACGTCAAAATTGGGCCACCCTTCCAACGACCCACCGGTGGCAATCCCTGACCTCCACGACTACTTCACACTTCACGCTTAAATCAGGATTCGATTAGTTAAGCGTTCTGGCCTCGCTGAATGTCGTGAAGCTTTTGACAACTACTCGCATTCATGCTGGACTTCCTTCACCATGGACAATCGCGACGAATATCAAAGTCCGCATGATCCGTCGGGCTTCGGCTCGTGGAGTTGGATGGCACCTATGAGTCCAGGTTCAACGGACACCCAACAACCATATCCAACGCCGAATTCATTTCAGACCCCTAATGCGTCCGCATCGTACTCACAGCATTACCCGTCGGCTGCATCATCTTCATCCTCAGCGCCAGGGTCAGCCTTCCGAGCCGCGCCCAAGGTGGCCATTCCGCGCTTGGCGGGCTCGGAAACGGGTTTTGGCGGGCGCCGCCGCTCCGCTCGAGCTTGCGAGCCTTGTCGCCAACGAAAGATCAAATGCGACGGGCTGAGGCCGTCCTGTGGGCAATGTATCTATCACAACCACCGGTGTTCCTACGAGGACGTCAAACGCGTCCGTGACCAGAAGCGACTCGGTACGTTGGCGAAACGCGTCGAGGCGTACGAAGCCCTTTTACGAGAATTGGAGGGAGAGGTTGATTTGCCTACGGCACGACAGATCAGGAAAGTATTGCAGGTAAGTCAGTCTGAGACCGCTGCCTCTGAAACTGCCTCTGAGACTCGGGTCTCAAGCTCAGAGTCCTAAGTACAGGCTTTTGACTATTTGGCAAAGACCAAGCATGTAAGCTCCTCGGAAAAGAACGACGATGCATCCGATGATTCCTCGACCTCCATGGGTTCGCTCGACGCGATCGACCAGGTCGATGAAGACCTGAATCGGAACGAGAGTACCCGTGCGTCGGGCTTTTTTGGCAAGAATTCAGAGGTCAATTGGATTCGCAAGTTGGAGAGCGGAGTGAGAATGACCAGCCCGCCAGGTAAATCGGGGAGTTCGCAGAATCCTTTCAATACGGACGGTCTGGACGCGTCTCAGCGACAGAGTCTCGAAAGGGTTCTCCCTACCTCCATAATGGATTATCACCTCGACAATTTGGAAATTCCTTTCATTGAGTCGTGCGATCCTTATGCCTTGCCATCGCGAGAACTGGCAGATCGATATTTCGACGCATACCTGACATATGTTCATCCGACCTTTGGTATTATTCGAAAGTCCAATTTCCTTTCTCAGTACCAGAAGTTCTTTGAGAATACATCCGCAACGCCGCGGCCGCGGAAGTGGCTCGCCATTTTGAACATGATATTCGCTATTGGCTGTCGACACTGTCGACTCATGGAAAATATCTACAACATGAGCGAAGAGGACCTGGTTTTCCTGAGTCGAGCGCGGCTCCTGGGCTTCGATTTCGGCGTGCTGTTCGAGCACAGCGATCTTCAACAGATCCAGCTAGAATCCTTGATGGCAATATACCTCCTCTGCCTAGGACAGGTCAACAGGTAGGTCTCATGTGCTCCACGTATCAGCCACGTTCTATCACTAACCCTTCAGGGCATCCAAATTCTCCGGCATGGCTCTCCGCTCAGCGCTATCCCTCGGTATCAATCTCCGTCTCACAGACACCCAGACCCCAGAAGCCGCAAAAGAAGCCCGCGGCCGCCTCTGGTGGTCCATCTACTCGCTCGAACACCTCATCACATCAGTGACTGGCCGCGCCTCCAGTGTATCGGAAAGCATCTGCTCCGTACCATCCCCATTCCCCTGCGAAGAAGAAACCTTTGAACACCCCGAAGCAAAGCGTCTCTTCCGAGACCCAACCCTCCGCGAAACACATCTCCGCCCAACCCTCTTCGAAGCCTCCAACCAGGCCGACCTCCAATCATGGACCGCAGCCTGCCCACCCTGTCCATCCCTCTTCTTCCACAACCTCGTCGACCTAAGCCTCCTCACCCAAGCCCTCATGAACAAAGTCTACAGCATCGAAGGCCTCCGCCAAGGCCCCTCCAGACTCGAATACCACGTCCAGAAGTTCGGCCTAAAAATGGATCGTTGGCTCGCAAAACTATCCCCTGCATACCAATTCACCCTCCCGGACGCCGGCCCCTGGCACCTCAACCACCCCCAGCTAGACGATCTAGCCGCGCCCTTCGTCCGCGAACGCGTTTGTCTAGCGATGAACTACTACTCCGCCAGAATAACCCTCTGCAGACCCTGTCTCACCCACATCCGAACAAATACCCAAGGCCGCTCTTCTGCATCCCAAAGCTCAAACTCAGACCTAAGCTCCCGCACGAAACTCCGCATCGAAATGGCTACCCACTGTCTCCAAGCCTCCTGCGCTCTCATTTCCGTCTTACCCGAATCCCCGAACCTCCCCTGGTTAGCATGTACCGCGCCCTGGTGGAGTGTCCTCCATTTCGTTATGCAGGCTACAACAGCTCTCCTGCTGGGACTATCATACCGCTCTTATAACTCCGGTTTACAGTCTCAAACGCAGTCGCAGGAGCAGTCACAATCTAAACCCTCTGACCCGCTTACACCTGGCACGCCAAGTTCAGGGCCTGGAGTGTCGTACCCATTACTCCTAGAAAAAAACCTTGATACGGCGGTTGCATCGGCTAAAAAGGCTATGCTTTGGATCCATGCGACGTCGCAGGTGGATATGGCGTCGCGGAAGGCGTTTGTTCTCTGTGAGAATGTTGTTAAGAGGATTGCGCCTGGGTTGGGGGTTGATCTGAGTGATTGGCCTGATGGGAGTGGGTTTGTTGTTGATTTTAGGGAGGGGAGGAGACGGGGATCTAGTGGGACTTGGAATGGGAGTGGTGCGAGTGATGGTGATGCCAATGGCAATGTCAATGGGAATTTGGCGAATAGTCGGACTAGTAATGGGAGTGGGAGTGGGAGTGGCATGGAGTCTTTTGAGGAGTTGGTTGATTTTGAGGGAGGCGTTTTTTAGGGATTTGTTAGTATGTTTGACGATGTATCAGGAGTCATGTTGTTATGAAAATTTGAACATATGATGATTTATGAGTTATCATTGATCCAAGGCATAGAGTGGAAGGGAGACCTGCTTCATAATTGGGACGATAAAGATACATGAGTGTAATTGACAGTTGAGATTAGGAATAACTATATACTATACGATAACATTAGATATGTAGACAAACCAAAACAAAAGAACAAGGCTAATAAACAATAAGCAGAAACAATATGTTGGAGATGCCTGAGATGCGCGACAGAATACGAACACATGGTAGAAGACTTCATAGACATGAAATAATCAAATGCATATGGCAAATTCAAGAACAATACCCGTACCAACACCCGCAAATTCCTGAATGGAATGGGATGACTCGATATCTGACATGTAGTGGTCACAGGGAACAGCACTAGGTTGGCTGCGGTTGCATTTGGATTTGGAAGGTATGTTGGTGCTCATGCTGAGGGGCAGGCGGAGGGGGTGCCTGGCTGCGTTGTGGAATAGGTGCTCTGCGCTGCTGCTGTCCCGGCATCCCGTGGACAGGGGACTGAGCTTGCACAGGGTGTTGCATTTGTTGCTGCATGGGAGATTGCATATAAGGCTGTTGATGCGGGAGAGGTCGAGGAGGGTGAATAGGAGATTGATGATGCATTTGGATGTGTTGGGGCATTGACAGCGGCGCCCCCGGTTGCTGGGGCATGGATTGGCCATTAGGCATATGTGGAGGCTGAGGAGACAGATGCTGAGCTTGTTGGTGCATGTGTTGGACCTGCGCTTGACCAAGATGCTGGCCTGGCTGCTGCACAGGCTGACCCTGTTGGAACATATGAGTCTGCTGTTGCGGCAAAGTCTGGCCTTGATGCAACTGGGAGGGACTTGGAGCGGGCCGTTTGCGTGAGTTCTCATCAACTGCAGAGGCTGCATGTTTTTGAACTGTAGTTGCATCCGTGCTCTCATCGAATTGAGCTTGACCATCAGCCTGTGTTTGATCACCACTGGCGGCGGCAGCAGCCGCCGCGGCCGCGGCCGCGGCCACATCGGCTTTACGAGGTCTTCCACGCGGCCGGCCCGTGCCAGGTGGCTTTGGCTTCGCCGAAGATGGCTTCCTCGGCTTAGGTGGTGGCAAGGGTTGACCAGTTGCAGCCGCCCACGCAATCTGATCGGCTTTTCGTGGACGCCCACGTTTCCGCTTCAAGGGAGTACCATCCGGCCCGATAATAGTCGTGGGTTTCCCTGGCGCTGGAGCACCTGGGGCGGTGGGTGTCATATTTGAGGTGAAAGAAGCCTGTCCTGGTTGCGACATTCCGGGGATCGGCTCGCCATTTTGAGCGGCTGCGGCAGCCGCCGCGGCAGCCCTGGCTGCAACTTCTTCTTTGCGTGGTCGACCACGGCGACGCTTCGCAGGTGGAGCGGCAAGCTGATCACCGCCTGCTGACGGCACAGTGGGGATCTGTCCTTGACCGTTAGGGAGAGCGGGAGGTGCAGTGGGGATTGCAGCAGGAATATTAAGTTGCGGTTGAGGAGGCGGCGGTACCTGGGCAGGTTCGGGTTGAGCAGGGGCAGACTTCTTAGGTTTACTCTTCTTCTTGGGGACGGGACTTGGCTCGTGGTTCATGAACGGACTCTCCTCTGCCGCAGGGACAGTCGGTAGGGCTGTCTGTGATGTTGGACCACCGGCTGGATGCGACGCTGGCTGGTATTGGTGGAACTGAGCTTGGTGTGGTGATGCCTGGAACTGGGGTTGCTGCGACTGAGCGAATTGCGCCTGGTGCTGGGCAAAATGTTGCGGCTGATATTGAGATGGGTGGAACGGAGGTTGAGAGTGTTGAGCGAATGGTGATTGTTGTTGGTATGGGTTCTGGGCCTGGGTCTGTTGCTGCAACTTCTGCAATCTCTGTTGCTCCAAATGTTGCTGCTGTTGCTGCTGCCGCTGTTGCCGATCTTGCTCATCCTGCTGCTCCTTTTGATATCGTACTATATCCTCCGCCTCTTGACGTCTCCGTTGTTGCTCCAATTGCCTCTGTTGTTCGCGCTGCTCCCTTTCCAAATGCTCCTTTTTCAATCGCGCCGCCTCCTCCTGCTCTCGACGTCGAGATTCTTCCTCGGTCTTTTGTTTTTGTAGCAGCTCATCACGCTCCTTTTGTGCAGCCGTTCGCTGCTCTATACGCTGGTTTTCCAGCATCTGCTGATGTTGCTGTTCCTTTTGATATTGCGCAACCCGCTGCTGTAGACGGTGATCCCGTTCAAGTTCCTGTTGCTTCATCTGTCTTTGCTGCTCCATCATCTGCTGCTGCTCCATTCGTTGCTGTTGCTCTAGACGGTGCTGCATCTGCTTTTGCTGTTCCAACCTTTGCTCCTGGATCCTTTGCTGCTGTTGAAACTGCTGCTGCTGAAGTTGGTGCTGCAACTGTTGATTTGCCTGCTGTGGCGATTGCGGCTGGGACTGGGACTGATTCTGTCGCTGTTGGATAGCAAACATTGATGGACTAGCCATAGACGGACTGGCGGAAGGATGATTCTCTCTCTGTTGGTGCATACCAGCGTGAGGTAGTCTATTCATGGTCTGCTGTGGAGAGGGAACATTCATCGGATGACCATGGGCCATTCCGGAAGGACTCATTCCAGGTTGCGGGCGAATATGCGCCATGGGATTGAAGCCACGCTGAAGGTTCTGCAAAGCCATGGGATCTGGATTACGAGACATCAAATCTGGGGAGCTTTGCGGCGCATACTGGCCCGGAAATTGCGCAAAACCGCTGCCGGTGGGGTATCCACCCAGTGAGCCCGATGTCGGGGTCATCTTGCGCAAATCCGGTGACTGCGACGCAGCAAAATTCTGCTGAGGTTGCCCTCGAAAAACGGGCTTATTTCCCGGGAAAGGACTGCCATGCTGCGGAAGAGCCGGACCGGTGCCTAACAATGGCGACTGACCATGGCGTGGAGGTTGCGGACCCAACGGATGTTGAGGCTGGGCTTGGTGTTGTTGTGGTTGAGGCTGCTGCGGCTGTTGAGGGTGGAAGGGATGGCCCGGATAGTTCATCATCTTGACTATTGATATAGCGCCACTGGGCCTTGCCGTAAGCGGCAGCTGAAAGAATGATCCCTTTGTCAAGCGGAACACATGCAAGGGAACGAAAAATAGTTAAAAATTAACTCGGGGCCAAGTGGAATGTCAGACCATGCGACTTCTCCAGAGATGGCTGTCGTTCGCGCCAGCGCCGACAATTCTCGAGAATCGCCACCTAAGTCGCGCCGAGGTCGCGTGTTTGTTGTTCCCCAGCTCAAGGCCACAAGACGATGAGGCAACAAGGCAGCGAGTGAGACCCGTTCCCAAAAGGGGTTAGCGGCTACGGTGGCCGAGTCTTGCCGATCCGCGCAGTTCGAGAAAATGAGTCGGTCGCGCAACTCCACGGGATTCAGGGGGAAACAAGCTGGGGGGATCCAGAGACCCAGCGCGAGAGGTCCCAACCTATTTACTGAAGGTCTGAGCAGATGGCCAAACACAGCAGCAGTAGATCGGAGATGAAGTGGATGACGCTGGGCTGGAATCCTCGATGGTAAAAAAAATAAAAAATAATAAAAAATAAAACGAAAAAACCAGCTGGAAAATCTCCACATCACGTGAGCCGATCGGGGGCCACTATAGATTAAGTGGAGATTTAGACTTCGATTTATTATTATTTGATTTATTTTACATTGTATAGATGTATATTTGCAGTGTAGATTATATTGTACATCTTGCTTCAGTTACTTCTGTACCTGATTTTGTCCGGTTCTGTCTGGTTATGTTCCGCAATCCTTGCCAAAGTATACACGCATAGTGCTACCCCTGAAAAGTCTCCCGAAACTATACGTCACGCTGCTTTGCTTGCATCCTTGTCTTCTTCAATCCGAAGATCGGCCAAACAGGGTGCGAAAAAGAGCTTCCCTGAAACGACTCCTTTCAAGGTCCCGAGACTAACAATGACCCACAAAATAACCACAAAGAGGGAGAGGATCTGCCTTCGTTAGCCTATATAAATCCTGCACTGCATCCGAGGAAATGCATCATACCGTGCCGAGGATATCGAAGAAGTTGGATGGAAGTTCGCTGCCCATCTGGCAAGTACTAGTAGCGAATACCCCCAGTGGGAATGTAAAGCCCCACCATCCAATGTTGAAAGGGAATTTCTTGTTGTGAGCGATCGAGGCAATAGCGAAGAAGAGCCAGACCAACCCAAATGACCACATTATCAGTGCAACCAAGAATCCCAGGGTGTAGAAAGTAGGACCGGATGCCTCCTGGAGGGTATGAGTTTTGGGAAAGATCTCTTGAGCACGTTGTCCCAGTTTCATCGCCCTATGCAATGATCAGCGCTTCACATGAAACCCACTTGATATAGACTTTTACTCACCCATATCCACCTTGTCCTAATGGGCCCAGTGGAAGGAAAACACTGACAATAACAGCTTTGGGCGGCAGTTTGTGGAGCACGAGACGTTGGAGGTAAATCACCATGACCATCAACGCAAGGGGAAGCCCTATACCCCACAGTACATAACTGATGATCACTGTCCATAGGGCATGTTGAGGATTGGGAAGTACCTCAGCCACAATGGCGCCCGACGAAGCGGCGACAATGCAGCTGACAATGGGAAGAAGCCAGACAGCAGTCATAGAGGACAAGTGCGTCTCGCCACCATTGGCCATTCTAATCGAAATTAGTAGTTGAGATAAACACACGCTTGAACGACCCTCACAGAATAAACGGCAGAGAAAGAGCGGTCATGACTGAAACGACCGCGTCGAAAATCCACAATCCCCACGCGAAATATCGAGCCCATTCACCCCACGCAGGGACACAGACTAGACAGAACATATTGATAATTGTGGCAAGTCCCATGGGGAACGTGCCTATGAACATGGATTGTACCGGATGCTTGATCATAGCCAGGAAGATCTCCGGATACAAGGTATATCGGAGGATGGAAATGATACTTCCAGTGATAAATAGAAGCACATTTAGGGCAAATATCACAACGGAAATCCAATATAGCCAGGTCCCATTGTAGGGCAGGTTGTGCAGGAGGAGAGACACGATCCCCGTGCCCATGGTCACTGAGAACCATCTGAATATGTTAACAAGAAGAAATATATGTCGATTGATTGTACTTACGATGGTGTGAAGTTGCGGACGACTCTCCTCCACCCGTGATCGTATTTCGTGGGTTGCATCCTTGCGTTCCTGCATGGAGGTTCGGTGGCGTTAGTTGCTTGTGAAGGAGACACCTCGGGTGCCATTTTGAAGCCGTTTCCCGTGGTAATTTTTTCTCAGCAAGGCAGCTACCAGTGATATGTGATCTGAACTTGGCAAATTTTCCAGATTCCTTGAAACTCGCGTGAGTCAAGTATGGCTCGGGAACTTCGGCCGAGATGACTGAACTTTCGCAGCCACTTGTCTCCACATTTCACTGCCATTTTGGGACAACATTTGACATTTATATCTTCATTTTGATATGTGTTGTCTTCTAGTACTTATTGTACGGGAGTTATTTTTTACAAAAAGACCCAAAAATTTGCGAAAGCATATTTTGTAGGAGAATATATATTTCTGGTTTCCGTTGTATGATATCTTCAGTTCGAGGAAAGCCCTTGGCCTCTACAAATCCCCAAGAGGTTATAAATAAAACGTAAACTGAGGGTATTAGCCATTGGACTTAATTCCCCGTTCCAAATAGAACCGAATAACTATTATACCCTAGGTCGACGAGAATGGATCTTTGTGGGTCATCGCTTGGTGTGGACTTTGCTGTTTGATTGTTCTGGTGCTATCCCTGTCGTTGAGAATATGATCGCTACTCTTGGTATTCGTGGAAAAGCTGCTAGTGTTGGGGCTCCTGCTCCGGGGAAGAAGGTTGAGGTGGAGGTTTTCTCGCATCTGACCATGGGTCGTCAATATATTGGTTGTCATCAAGGTGACATATGTTTTCAGCCATCTAGCTTAGCACGGTGTGTACTAACGAAGTGAAAAGACTATTCCTTATCTGATGGAACAACATGCCCAAGGTAATTTCCCTCTGGAAAGGTTGATCTAGGTTTACGAATCCAAAGACTTTTTGCAAGCATTTCAAGATATGAAGGACGGCGAAGCCTTGAAGCCTGTTCTCAAGTGGATATGAAGCGCAAGATAAACCGTAGAAAATCATACAATCTTTAATAGGCATTTTCTGGGTCCCCAAAATACCTAGGAGGGAGATGTGGAAAAATATATGTACTGGTTATTACTATAGAAGACAGATGGATATACCCATCTGTATAGGCATGAGGCCCAACAATCTCAAAGTACATGTCAAATATATACTGGATAGAAAGTAAACAAGGATTTCTCCTTGGTATCACCCTTCTTATAGTCTATTTACAGACAAAGGAAGAAGCCTTATCAGGGTTACCACCGACAAAAGTCATAACCCTAGGCCAAGGACACAAGCCAGCGGTACGCAATGGCGGCTGCGCACCCCCAGTAGCGGAAGGCGTGGCAATAGCCTTGAGAGTCTCAGGTGCGACACCCTTCTCAACCCAGTCCATCAAAGCATTCATACTTTCGCCAGGATACCAACCTGGTCCACCCCTGCAATGCTCCACACCCGGGGCAGGGAAGAACCGGTAGAAATCATGGGCTTTGGGGTCATGTTCCAAGACCTGGCGGTAGTAATGTTCAGTGCCGTTGAAGAAGATGAGCTGGTCCTTCATGCCGTGCCAGCTGATCATCTTTCCACCAGCGTTCTTGAATCGTGTGAGATCGGGATCGCGGGTTCCGATGGCTGAGGCATACTCGTTCACTGATTGGCGGAACAATGTGTCGAATTCTTCATAGCCGATGGTGGACACATCGAAGGAGGTGTCCTTTTGAAGAAATAATTGTATCCAGTCTGAGGAGATAGCGAAGGGAAGGGATCCGCAGTCCGTGAGAGACGTGCAGTTTGTTCCGCCGAGGGAGGTGAGGGGAGATTCATAGGGAAGCCCGTACCAAAGGGCAGATCCATCTGAGGCCTTCGCACCGGCCCAAATGGCAGCCGCAATTTGGGCGGCCTTCTTGGAGATTTTGATGGTGCCATTGGGAGATGTGCAGTTGACAGTCTTGCCGACTACGGTCAAGGGGTCGAAATGACATAGTCCCTCCATGGAAATGATGCCGTCTTTAACACCGTCTAGCTCGTCACAAGCGCTGATCGCACTTTGAGTGAGAGCATCCATTTCACATGATGAGGGATAATAGTCTATTTACACTAGTCAGCAAAATCTGACGAATTACTCCTATATGAGAGAAGTTGAGAAACTCACCAAGTTCCTTCATCATAACCTGGGGCCAGTACTCAGCAGGGATGAATTTGTCCCAGTTAATAGCAGGAGCTCCAGCCAGGATACCGTCATACTGAGTCGGGTACCTCTGGGCCATCATGTGTCCCTGTCTTCCTCCAGTCGAACATCCGTTCCAGTACGAATACTTGGCCGGACGACCGTAGAACATCTTGGTAGCAGCCTTGCCCAATGAGGCAGCATCATCAAGTGCAACGGACGAGAAATCGTTGAGATTAGGTCAATTGACATTTCCTTCACTTGCCAGAGCCCAAGACTCGGTAGTCGCGGATCCGCCGTGTCCACCGTCTGTGGATGCAGCGGCAAATCCTTCGAATGCAGCTTGGCTGTTATGGACCAATTCGCCAGTGGTGTAACCGCCACCGCCCATGCCTGCGAAGCGTCCATTCCAGGAATCTAGCGGTAAGGAGATCCACGTGGTGACGTTGTCTTTCCAACCAGGGTGGGTATAGTTGACAGTCAGCTGGCAGACTGCTACAGTGCCGTTCTTGGGGACTCGGTAAACATTGAGCAGATCAGAGGTGGATGGCCAAGCGACATTCTTAGAGGTGACATCAACAGAGGAGACCTTGATGTTGGGAAGGTCGAGGGAGGAAAAGGTTTCCGCGGTGCAGGACTTGGTGCTGGCAGTTGCTGCAGCTACACCAAGCTGGGCCACAGCTAGGCAGTACGCGAAACTTGAGATCATCTTGGGGAAATAAAGATGAAAAGATCGAAAGACCCACAGGGAGAAGCTCCTCCTTTAGATCTGGTTCACGGGCTGAATTTTTTAGTGCCCTTATCCGTGGCTCCGAGGATCGACACTAAATATCCCCAAAAGAGGTAGCTTCTTTGAATAGCTGTGGAGTTTACTATTTGATATTTGTAAGAAAGGAGAGAATGGATTTCGCCGTAATAGCGGGGAAGTGAGCTTCGTTGTATATAGAATGCAGGGGCGTTTTATAGCTTACTTCCGAAGCCGGATGGCGTGTCTGGGGTACATATAAACACGGGGTATCGGGTTAGAGTATCGGCATCTAGCTATGCATAAATGTCAGCAAGGGAATGCTGTTGACAGGGGATGACATCAGCTAGACCCAATACGGCACGGGCAATTGCAGAGATTTGCCGCAGCTTTGCCGGCCTCCTTTTCTCACCAAATTGGGGCATGATCGGCCTAGGGAGATTGATGTGGGGCGATCCCTATATGAACTCCTGGGGATCGGCTGGAGCAGCTTGCATATAGATTCAAGATCCCTGGAATTGTTGATATATTGCGATCTTAGAACTGAATCCTGATTCAGGTTCCTATAGTTATGAAATATATTGAGGAATGTTTCATTTGACGTGTGCTCTACAAACCAAGCAATTTATCAATGCCTTTTTGGTCAACAGGAGCTTTCGCAAAATCATCAAACGAACCCGTAGACATAACTGGAATAAAAGACTTCATAATAGCAGCGCCCTCTGCAGCACACACATGTTTATCTTTAAATGGACACTCCGACTCCAGAACGGCCCACCCGCCATAGCCATACTGCATGAGCTTTCCAAATATACCCTTGAAATCAACTTGACCATCACCGAGGGCTCTGAATCTTCCAGCTCGCTGTGTCCAGTCTGAGAAGCCCCCATAGACACCTTGTCGGCCGTCTGGTCGAAACTCGGCATCTTTCACGTGGAATGCTTTGATCCGGTCGTGATAAGTGTCGATGAAAGAGAGATAGTCCAGGCACTGGACTACAAAGTGGCTTGGATCGTAGAGAATGCATGCCCGTGGATGGTGATCCACAGCTTCCAAGAATCGTTCAAAGGAGATACCATCATGCAGGTCTTCGCCGGGGTGGATTTCATAGCAGAGATCAACACCGCATTCATCGAAAACATCAAGAATCGGTTTCCAGCGAGCAGCTAGCTCTTTGAATGCTGTTTCTACCAGGCCAACAGGGCGTTGGGGCCAGGGGTAAAAGTAAGGCCAGGCAAGTGCACCGGAGAAAGTAGCATGTGCTTTCAAATTGAGGTTCTTCGACGCTTTAGCGGCCAGGCAAACAATTTCAGTTGCCCATTCCTGTCTAGCTTTGGGATTATTGTGCAAGTGTGCCGGTGCAAATCCATCGAAAAGGGCGTCATAGGCGGGATGCACTGCAATCAGTTGACCCTGGAGGTGGGAAGATAGCTCTGTCAACTGAACGCCGTGGTTTATAAAGACAGCTTGAATTGAATTGCAATAGTCCAGGTCTGTGGCGGCTCGTTTAATGTCGATGAGTCGTGGATCTATAGGTAGTTGAAGCCCTCGATAGCCATTATTGGACGCCCATTGGCATATCCCTTCTAACGAATTGAATGGAGGATCGTCGGCGAGATACTGAGCAACGAAGATAGCCGGTCCTTTGATATCTGATAGTCTCGTCATGACTAGAAATTGTGTATTTCCTGTCGAAGCGAGTGATGGAAGAGGTGGATATGTCATCGCGGGGTTTATGCAGGGGAGCAAATATTATCCGATAGCGTCGCGATTTACCACCCCCAAAGTACAGCAAAATCCAGACAATTGATATGAAAACATTTGATTTATTTCTTTACAAAAAGAATCTAACTATGATTTCTCTTTGGCTATAGCTCCGGGAGCAGACGGCATCAATGCGCCTGCAGGAGGCTTATTTTTGCTCTTGAACTCATCGCTCATTTGCTCGAATGTTACCCATTCCACTCCTTCGTGTTGGTTGATATACTCGATGATTCTGTATAGGTATCATTAATATGACAACAGAGAAATCTGCTGTTATGACTCACCTTTCATGCATGAGCAACACATGAGGCCGACCAGAGACATCAGGATGAATTGTCATTGGGAACACAAACTCATCATATTCTCGATAGAAGTAGTCAAAGTGGTCCTGCATACGTAGACCAGTCAGTCTTAATGCCATATGAAAAAGGATATAGAAACCGACCTTCCAGATATCCTCAACGTCGCGGGGATTCACCCAGCCATGACTATTGGCCGAGTTCTTGATAAACATCATCGGAGGTAGATCATCGATGTACCAACTGCCAGGAATTTCAACGAGACCAGTGGTATTTCCTCTGACGAGGGGCTTCATCCATGTCTCTGCCTTCTGGTTGTAGTCAATCTTCGTCCATGTATCTCCAGTCCGCAGCCAGTACATCTGGCAGTCTTCATGCGACATGGAATGATCATACTCGATTCCATATGCCAGCAGAAGATCGACCATTTCAGCACTGCTCTCCCACCACGGTGCGACAATGCCTCGTGGAGGCTTCCCACAGAAATCGGTCAACAAATTGTAGGTTTTATCGAGGATGTCGCGTTGTTGCTCAACTGACAGACTGGACGGATTCTCGTGTGTATAGCCGTGTAGACCAATCTCGTGCCCTGCGTCGCGAACCATTGCACACTCTTCTGGGAAGGTCTCGAGGGAGTGGCCTGGGATGAACCATGTAGCCTTGATTCCGTACTTTTCCAATAACTTGAGCACTCGTGGTGTTCCGATATGTCCTGCCCAGAGACCTGCAATTGTTCATTCTGATTAGCATTGGATTATATTTGGAACTTGAGAGTGTGATACCTCGACTAATGTCATTGACACTGTCCTCCCCTCCGTATGAGCCTAGCCATCCGGATACTGCGTCAATGTCAATGCCATAGCCAACTAAAACGCGCTTCTTGCCCATATTGGTTGATTGATCGGGTAGTATGTAAGATAAGAACTGGTAGAAATTCCAAGGAGCAAAATGGCAGGAGAAAAGAGATCTTCCTCGGAATATTTATGAGAGCTCCCCCACCTCTCAAAGACGCCTTCGCCAGCAAAGGTGGGGGTTGCGTCTTCCCCTACTCTCGAATCTTCAAATAATGGAAACGAAGAAGATATGGGTTGCGGATTCTGACTTACGCAAATGAGATTGATATCTCTGAGAAAATCGATGCGTTGCTATGTTGCGATTGAGAGATTCATCTGTACTCATCTTTTACTTCATTTTGGACTTCGCCTAGCTACACCTCTTTTTCTTTCTCGTGTTTCCTCTTTTTCTTTTGCTGAAAAGTAAGGACGTTGTCATTGGTAAGAACTTAGACCATGCATAGAAGCTCTTAATATGACGAGAATCTGAGTCTAAAATTGAGACCAACGGAATATCGGCTAGCTGTGCTATTGTCAAATACACTGATTTTTTTTTAACCCTAAGAAAAACACCTTTAGTATCTGCTCTAGGCTCAATAATTTAAGATCGATTGTATGACAAATGCACAGTTTTCGAGGATTCAAAGCTTTCCCTTCATCACAACGGTGCTTCCAGCGTCAAGATATTCCGTCCCGCCGTAGATATCTCGCTGCAATCTGCTTGTATTAACCTTCAAGAAGAGTATTAGCAATCCTTACACAATATCTGTAGCAAAGGATATTCGTCTCACAAGATGGGGATGAAGGTCCTCCACTGTTTTGGTACCAAGTAGACGCATGCATGTTTTCATCTCGTCGGATAGAACTAAAAATTAAATTATTCGCGTTAGTAAGAAGCACTTGAAGATCAAAAGGGGACATGACTGACTCTGCAAAGTTCGTTCAACCCCCTCTACACCACCAGCTGCGAGTCCCCAAAGCGCTGGCCGACCAATACCAACAGCCTTAGCACCCAAACACATTGCCTTCACGGCGTCTGTGCCTCGGCGTATTCCACCGTCAACCCAAACCTCCAGCTTGTCAAATACAACTGGGCAATATCTCCGCATCTCAAGAAGAGTGTGCACAGCAGGAGGCGCTGTATCCAGCGATCGTCCACCGTGATTCGATAGCACAATAGCCTTGACCAAAGGTGTATATTGTGCCGCCAGGAGTGCATCCTCGTGCGTTTGAATTCCCTTTAGAATAATCGGCTTTTTCGTATGTTCTGAGAGCCATTGAAGCGTCTCTATCCAAGTAAGGGATGGATCGGTCCCAGCAAAAAGCTGAGTGCTTACACTCCCAGCCGAATGGGGTTGGATATTGATTCGCTCGTCATCTTCTCTTTTGCCGGAGACCGGCGCGTCGAGCGTCAAAACAACAAATTTGATTTGGTCCAAGCGATTTATGCGGGCTAGCATGTCTTCGCTTGATTTCCGATTCAGCTGGACGTAGAGCTGCCATCCGAATACTTGGGTTGTTGGTGCATCGGCAACGATTTGCTCCGGAGAAAGAGAGGAATTGTTGGCAATAATCTGAAGACAGTCAAAAGACTTACATCCCTCGGCAATCCCTTTCTCGCCTGCTGGATGTCCTAGCCGTGCCATCGCAGTCGGACTGATGAATATTGGGAGGCCGACTTTGTTGCCCAAAAGCATCGTTCCCAATTCACAGGTTCGGCAATCGACGAAGACTCTCGGTCGGAATAAGATCGAGCGATAAGCTTCGGTGTTTAGAGACTTTGAGATCTTGTCGTCTGCCGCTGAGTAGTAGTATGCCCATGCCTTCTTATTGATGACCCGGGTGGCCGCCTCTTCAATCTCGTTCAGGTTTAGCAAGGAATACATAGACACCTCGGCTTTCGGTGTGGGTTCAGAATCAGCCACATGATTAGAGACCTCCTCTGGCTCTACAGGGCCCAGATGTGTTGATTCAATGTCTTTCAAAGTTTCAGGAGGATGAATTAGGTCAAAGTCCTCAGTAGCATCACGTCCTGCAAATCGTAGAATTGCCTGCGCTCCGCCAGGGTGATTGTCAAGGAAATCTGTAACCTAGTTGGTGTTAATATAAAGCTGATAAAGTCTGAAAGAGTTGATCGCTTATTGGAGTTTCGTACATCGTAGACATTTCCATATAGGATCACCCAGCAACTCTCATCGCTGTTATGCTTAGAGACTAATAATATGAGCTAGATAATAGTTATTTTGGGAGTGTTGGCACCTACCTTCAGATTGAGTAATCATGGTGATTGAGGTGAGAAGGTTATGACTAGTGGATAGTTTACCAATATCTTGTTCTCCTTGTGTAGAGGACTCAAGTCTTCGACGTAATATCTCCCGTCGCTTGGACACATATTCCGCGCCCCCACTTTCATAGCATGAAGTATTTGCAGTGCTAGTTGTAGCGTCTTCGAAATCTATCAACCCCCATCTTTGTGACGAGCACCGGGATCTATAGCGCAAAATAATGAGCGAACAAAATTAATGGTAATCCAAATTATATCATTCAATTCACTATAGTACCTATATTTCAAGCTCCAGCGTTCGCATTTCCTTATCAATTACAACGCGTCATGTCCGTAGGTCTCAAACGGCAGGCCCAAACAGAAGACCCCCACAGCAACCCACAGTGCAGCACTAGCATAGATTGGAGCACTGGTAAATCCGGTCTGTGAGGAAATGAGACTAGCAACAAGTCCACCCAAGCGAAGGAGGGCCGCGGCAGTCCCGGCGCCAGTGCCACGATGGGGGGCTGGGAATGTCTCGGGCGTAAATGCGTACATGACAGCATATTCTAAACGTAAATTAGCAACTGCCAGACTCATGAGTGAAAATAGATTATGCTTACCGAAGTTACCCAAAAGGCTGGTAACACAAGAAAAGGCCAGATCGGCAGCTGGACTGCTGACACCCACGTATGCGAAGAGGAAGACGGCAGTTACAACAGCAGAAATTCCCATCATCCAACGTCTTCCGAGGCGAGTATTGACCGATACTGCAGCGGACAGTGGACCGACAATGCCGACTGCTGATGTAATGCAGTAGTTACGATATGTGAGGTAGAGAGATGAGTTTTCCGTAAACTTGGTTGCTAGATAAGATGGCAAGAAGGCAAAGAAGAGTGGGTATGCAATTCCTAATCCGTATCAGTATAAGTGCCATGACCTGGGTAGTTAAAGCACAACTCACCAACAGTCAGCCAGATTGCCCAGATGATAATTGTTTGTCTGCCGAGTTTTCGAGTAGCAAATAATGCCCGGTAATGCTCACCCCTGAAGGCCTGCATGTTCTCTTTAACGATCTCTTTCGTGGTCATGCGGTTTGTTTCCCCCTCTTCATGGACTGGCGTTCCCGTTCGAATATCGATATCCCGGAGCATTGCGATGGTTAAGGGTTCTGGCTTTCCATTTTGTCTTGCGACGTGGTTGACGGCGTCTACCGCTTCTTGATCCCTTCCTTGAGAAAGAAGATATCTTGGAGTTTCGGGTAACTTGAAAACAAAAATACGAACAAATGTGAATGTGAGGGCTAGGCCGCCGAGGGTAATAAGGGTGTATCTCCTATTGATGTGTGTTAGCGAGGAACATGTGTGATTTTGGAAAGCTCCCACCATCCCATATTCTGGCCGCGGGAACAAGTTTCAGGTGTAGCATCAGTCGGGCAGCTGAAGTTTGCCAGGAAGACCCAAGCGATTAACGAGACAATCAATTGACTCAGGTTCCACCATGCAGACAGAGCCGTGAGGAGATACTGATGACTTGTAGAGGTTAGAAAGCCGAAATAAAATGTTTCAAGATCGATGTCACTTACCTTCCTGGAACAAATTCTAAGAAGATCATTGAATCAACGGGTACATTTCCACCGGCAGCTGTACCAATGACAGCCCAAAGAGCACTAAAGGCAACGAAGTTCATGGATCCGGCAGCGGCACAGAGGAATACTCCAGCAATAAGCAGAGTGCAGTTGAATGCCGGCTTGCGACCCATCAAATCGCTGGAAAGACCCCAAAAGGAGGCACCAAGAATGAGTCCAACATAGTAGGCCACAGAGCTGTAACTGACATGTACTATGTCGGAGAATTCTTGTTTGATGGGCGGTTGAACACTTCCGATGCCTTGAGACGCAAACTGTTGCAGATAGCATCAGCCTAAGAAGCGAGAAAGGGAGGGAAAGAGATTGATCATACGTTGTCGACAATCCACCCAAATCCAGTCACCACGAAGAGTTTCCATTGAAACCTGAGACTGTCAGCATTTACTAGTCATAACTTGGTTGGAAAAGATATTATGTGCGTACCATCCCATGCCAATCTCCTCCATGCATTTACCAACCAACTCAGACTTCAGACGATATGACTGCGTGGTAGAAGAGCCATAGAAATTCTCAACCTCCAAGTCAGCGATCGTAGTCATCTTCCCAACGCCATATTCTAAGCTTTGATTCTGCTCTGGTTGAGCATGTTTCTCCTTGACCTGAATGTCATCCATGACGAATGTAAATTCTTGCTATGGAGATTGAGTAAATTCTGTTCATCGCAAGCATGATGCCTCGAACAGTGGTCGCTTTTAGGGCTTTGTGTTAGGCTTGTCTAACTTCTGATTGGTTATAGCTATCTGACGTTTGATCTGATAGAGCCCAGACTGGGGAAAGATTACTAGTGCCAAGAGTGGGATGGACGATATGCCATCCCACTTTTGATAAATCTGGGGGATATGCAGGGATAGCTCTGGGTAAATGTATTATATCACTCGAGCAATGGAACCCAATTGGGCAATGGAAGTGCATATATCATTTCCAAACGGCTTAGCTATGTTTATATAGATTTGCACGTGATGAATAAAGGTAGAACCAATGTAAACGTTCAATTGATGCTACTTGATCACGCGTGAAATTCATTGCAAAATATTGACATGAATCTGCAATTTTCAATTTAATTACAAAGCTAAAAAAATAAATTACTAAGCTCCTACTGCAGCCAGAGCTGGCAGTGGCTCCGGTTTCTTGTTTTCCATTTCCTTCTTGTATTCCTCTGCCCGGCCATAGCTCTCCCTGTAAGAGGCTGTAACCATATCCTGCACAGTAATTGGTCCATACTTGGCCGGTTCCCCTTCTTCACGACAGTTGGGCAAGCATTCGCAAATATAATCCGGGTTTCCACTGAAAAAGAATGGAATGGAATACCTCTCCCGGCCGGATTTGTTGATGACTCGATGGGTGTTGGATTTGTACTTGTCATTTGCCATGCGCATGAAGAGATTGCCCAGGTTTACCACATAAGCGCCTGGAACGGGTTTGACCTATCCATTGTTAGCTGGTTTCGAAATGTATTGTGATCGGGAACTCACATCTAGCCATTGTCCAGTTGGCGCATCCAGTACTTGTAACCCGTCCACCTCATCTTGTAACAAGAGAGTAATGCATCCGAAGTCGGTATGCGCTCCAATTCCACGGTTTAATTTTTCATCGGTATCCTGCGGCTGAGCTGGATAGTGCAAGTATCGCATCGTAGCGACGGCGCCATCAGTGAGGGGATCGAAGAATGTCGACTCCACTCCCAATGTTTGCGCGAGCACTCCTAGAACATCTTTCGCCAATTCGAATACTGCGTGGTAGTATTCCATGGTTGTTTCCTGGAATTCCTCCTTCTCCGGCACAGTTGGGGGCCATTGGTTTGGGCCACTGTTCAATTTCTTCTCGAGGTAATATGGGTGGTCTTTGGGGATTTCTTCGCCAATGTATAGGCCTTCTTTTAGCTCGGGGCCGGTGCCTACTTCGAGCATTTGCGACCGCAGGAGTTCATAGCCTCTGTTGAAGGAGTTGTTATCTATCCAGTTAGTTAATTCATAAACCTCAATCGAATTAACGCTTACTCTTATCAATCTTCAGTTTCTCCTCCAGAGGAAGATCGAAAAAGCGTCTAGAACAATCCATCACGCGGCGCTGCAGGTCCAGCGGCACCCGATGGCCAGTAATCTGGAAAAATCCATTGTAGTGGCAACACTTGCGCACTTCCTCAATCAACTTCGACTTTGCTTCGCTGTCTCCTCGATAGAAAGGAGAAAAATCCAGAATTGGTGGGGCGGCGGGGAGAGACATCGCAACTATAAAGATGGTAGAGGAGGGTAGCTTCTCCTTCCCTTCAAGGAATTGATTTCGCTCGAATATATTCCCCCAATAATTACCCTAGACTGCTCCAACCACCCTCAACTTCGCAATGAACTCCGACATCTTGACGCCACTCAATGTTCTTGGATGTATTAAGAATGGGGGTGGTGTTGAGGTGTCAAAGATGGGGGCTAACGAATCGTCCCGTCCTGATAAGGAAGCGGGGTTTTGTTAAGGGAATGAAAGACTGAAGATGATCCTATCTATCTATACACATTGGTCGTATCTAGGTAGTTATTTTCACTGAAGCTCGGGAGTTGTACATGACTGTCAGGTGTCAAGAGGTTGGAATGTTGTTTAGTGTAGAAATTATTTATAAGAAGCCGATCGCCTCAGCTTCGTGTCATATCTTGTATAGTTATTCAAACCAGTATGTCTGAAAAAAAATCATATGATGGTGTCATAATTCACGACCCCGAAGTAAATAATGGGGAATGTACACCATATACAGACAGCGAAGCCGAACGAGCTTATGTCAAAAAGATTGACTATATCGTGCTACCGGTGCTATGTTTGGTGAGTGTTCCGTATGTTAACCCTTATGGGAAACAATGGCTAATTAACGCTCTTTTCCTGCGATGAAGATGTACTTTTTTGACTGCATGGACCGAGTATGTCTTGAGACCTTTTCATCTCCGAAGCCTGCTGACGGAATCAGAGCAATTTGGCAAATGCGAAGACTGATGGACTTGACAAAGATTTGCACCTTGTGGGAAATGACTACTCCCTCTTGATTCTTCTTTTCTATGTTCCATTTGGCATATTTAACTTGCCATGGAACCTTTTGATCAAGCGATTCTCTGGAAGAATTACGCTGTCATCCAGTGAGTTTATCGGGTTACCGCTAACTCTGATATATATCAACGGCTCATTGGATTCACAGTGTCCATTGCATGGGGAATATTAGCTCTCTGTCAATGTGCCGCTAAAGGATTCGGGTCTCTGCTTGCAATCAGACTTATACTCGGCGTTTTCGAGGCCGGTTTCTTTGCAGGCGCGACATTTTATTTGACGCTCTTTTACACTCGCGGAGAAATGGGATTCCGTTTGGCTATCATCCAATCATTCGCTGTTCTAGCGTCCGCTTTCAGTGGGCTCATCTCCTTTGGGGTATTCCAGATTAATGACCCAGCAGTGAAGGGATGGCAATGGTTGTTCATTATTGAGGGATCAATGACCCTCATTACAGGTATCGTCGGGTTCTTCTTACTTCCGGATAATGCACCGCAAGCCTGGTTTTTAAGCGATAGGGAGAAGGCGGCTGCGACAGCGCGTCTTCTTCGGGACACTTCATCTGAAGTTAACACTGCGTTCGATCTGAAATCTTGCTTTGAATCATGGAATGACTGGAAATTTCCGGTTTGGTGCTTTATCACGTTCACATACCCTGTTGCCTATGCTACTGCAATGAATTTCTTCCCCTTGGTAAGCCTTCCGACAGCCACGTTATACGTGGGCTAACGAAAGCAGATTGTTCAGCGACTGGGATACTCGGTCGTGAAGACTAATCTCTGGACTGTCGCACCCAACCTTGTCGGTGCAGTCTTCCTGCTATGCGTCGCCAAATCATCGGATTACTTCCGAGAGAGAACCTTTCATATAGTGTTCTCGTTGACAGTCTCACTAGTCGGCATGATTATATTGACCGCCATTGATGTCGAGGGGAACAAAGGTGTGGCATACTTCGCCTGCTTCCTCATGGCAGCTGGCTCATATATCCCCTCTTGTCTTGTTCATGCATGGCATAACAATAACAATGTCCACGAGAATTCCCGGGCTGCCAATACGGGGTTCTTCGTAGGCTTGGGAAATCTAGCAGGTATTCTAAGTGCCGGAACATTCCGAACACAATACGCGCCCAAGTACACACCCCATCTAATATCTAATACGAAGGTAAACTTACTAACGTTTTCACATAGGTACCTCCCAACCCTCATCGCAACTTGCTGTTGCAACGCAGTTTGTATTATGCTAGTGCTTGGACTAGGGAGCTGGATGCGTATGGAAAACTACCGCCGTGATCGAAACCAGGGTCAAACAATTAGAGAGGATCAGATTGACACCAGTCGGTTCAAAGAGGGAGAGAAGAGTCCGGAATGGAGATATTTCCCTTAATAGGGCAGATTGTTACCCTTGTTTAGCTTTCGCAAAAGTGTCGCAACGCAGCTACGAGATTTGATATATGTTACATGACGAGGTATTCAACCCATGTAGACCCTAGACTCCCGTATACCTAATGTTTAAGCTCGCAAGTGCCGAGTAGTGACAAATCCACAGCTTGTGATAAGCGAAGACATATCAGAGTGAAGTATACCAATCAGCCGTTAGCGTTAGGCACCCCCGCATCCTTATCAGGTGTTCTCGGCATTGGCTCCGACCTGTCGAATTTATCTTCAAGAATGGGGAGCTGTTCCTCCTGGATAACGCATTCAACTCAATATGAAGAATCATGCGTGCCAACATCCCGGATGTAGCAAAAGCTTCACCCGCGCAGAACATTTGCGCCGACATGCGCTCAACCACGAACAGCCGCGCGATGGATATACTTGTGAGCGGTGCTCTGTCCATTTCCAGCGTCCTGATTTACTAGGTGGGAGATAAGTGCAATTCCTTAGGTGATGCTGGCGCTGATGACTATAGCGCGACATATGGAACGACATACCAAACGCGACCAGGAAGCTGGAGGTCCAGGACAAGGGTTACTCAAGACGCGAAAGAGGACAAGACGGGCAGAAGATGGTTCTATCTTTGTACGACCTTCTCAGCGTCAGATCAGAAACGCTTCGAATTCTAGGGGTTCGGCGAACAGTTCTGGCCAGGAACTAGAAGAGGAGTATCAACTTCCTGAGGAGACTGGTCTCCCTATATCGCCCCCTGGCTCGGGTACAGATCCAACAACTATCTCAATCGATGAAACGGACCCGTTCCTAGCACCTCTGATTCCGATCGGTTCTTTTGAACCATATGTTGAACCCATCCCGGGACAATTTGATGCAGCCGATGGGTCATTCAATGTTGAGCTGGGAGGGATAGGCGATTATTTTGGCATGGACACAGGTATTATCTGGAATTATCAGTAAACACTGTTTAGAATCTGACGCTAATAGCCACCGACTTCAATCTACCATTTGCGGCGACTTGTAACTACAACTGGTTGTTTGATGTGTCCTCCCTCGACGACGCTTTTCAACACTTCGACTCCTCCATCGGATTTGATACAGTTGCCTTTCAAGAAATGACAGAAAGCATTCCGATGGAGGCACCTGAGAAATATGACGGCCCCTCGGCGCTTTTGATGGCGTCTATAATGGACAGAGAGCCATTCCAGCAATCTACCTCACCCTCCCTTCCCAGCCTTCCCGACCTGGACTGGATGTCAGGGTCTGCCATGCTAGATTCAAACCCTCCACTTCGCCTACCACAGATATCAGAAGAAGCGCGAAAGGGGATCATGTCTGTTGTAGCACATGCACACCCGACAAGCATCGATGGACAGCCCATGCTTCTCGAATCCCCTCTTCTCTCACTAGCTGCGCTCCAAAGCTACAGTGATCTCTTCTTCAGTCGCTTTAACACGACATACCCATTAATCCACCAACACACATTCAACCCGAACACAGCAGCACCGGTCTTCCTCGCATCGGTGCTTTTTATGGGTGCTACTTACAGCACCCGCGAAGCCCACCAACTAGCAGTCGAAGTCCACGATACTTTAAGATGCCAACTACTATGCCATCCCGAGTTCTCACCGCAACCCGATCTCTGGGTCCTACAGACAATGCTTCTGATTGACTGTTTTGGCAAAATGAGGGCTGGCCCGAAACAACGGGAACGAGCACAACTCTTCCATTGCGTACTCATCAAACTCATCCGGCGCAGTAATTGCTGCAACATTCGCGGATTGTCAGCTTTGGATCAATCTGCTGATTTGGAGCAAGTATGGCGACAAGCTTTGGATGAGGAACAGCGAAAACGCGTTGCTATGCATTGTTTCATGTGGGATACACAGCACGCAGTCTTATTTTCGCAGTCTCTTTGCATGTCTGCATTTGAAATTAGGTCTTCCTTACCTTGTAGCACTGCGGCATGGGAGGCTTCTTCTGCCCGCGAGTGGGCGCAACATGCCTTCCGTGAAGAGAACCGTCTGTTCCTTTCTGTGCTGAAGGGGTACATCACCCCGGCAGCTGTGCCTCGGCCTCGAGATTTGAACGCCTTTGCTCGTATCGTTGTTCTACATGGCTTGATGTCTGTATCTGCAGATCTTAAACGTCGTGATCAGACAACTCTACGGTCGGAAACACCTGATCGGGTTGGGGCATGGACACCACGTATGGGTCGTTCGTACGATCTGTGGAAGGTCGACTTTGACTCGGACTGTCTCGCTATGAAACTTGCACAGACTGTCAGTCCTCGGCAGTTCACGGGACTCAAGATATCCGGACATGCCTTGTATCACGCCGCATATCTCGCATTGCATGTTGAGGTCTTAGATTTGCAGATCGTCGCTGGTGCACCACACATCCTTGGGCGCCTCGTCACGGAAGCTGATCGGGTGCGATCGCTTCGAAATATCACCAGATGGCTTCAGGAAGACTCTGAACCCCCTTGCACGGCTGCGCGACAGGCCGCATCCCTCCTACAAGATTCCGTGTTAAGTCTTCATGAATGGGAGCAGGCTGATTCATTCCATTTCCCATGGTGTTTATACCTGTGCACGTTAGCTTGCTGGGTTTTCCACCGTGGGCTTGACCTTACATCTGACGAGAACAGGTCTACGACAGATTTGTCTTCATTGATCGTGATGATGACCAACTGTCCTAATCCGTCTGAATTAGGATCGCTATCTGGCAAGTATTGTCCACGGCCCCTTGCAGCAGCTATGGCACAGCAATTAGCAACAGTTCGATGGGCAGTTGTACACGACGCGATGAAAGTTTTAGTAAATTTATCTTGATAGTCTTTGATTTGATTTGTGAAATAGGCAATTTGTTCTATATGATATGTTGTTATATGATTTGTTCGAAACATCACTCCGTTGCATCGTCCTCTATGCACTATAGAATGGGTAGTCGGTATATCCCTTCTCAGCAGGCTCAGCGCCATAGAAAGTCGTCCGGTCATACGGAGTCAAAGGCAAGCCCTCCTTCAAGCGACGCGGCAGATCAGGGTTCGAGATGAAATAACGACCAAATACAACCGCATCAGCGCCATCAGCCACCAGTTTTGTACCCGCATTCTCGGGGTTGAAGTTTCCAGCTGCAAGGAATGAGATTCCCCCCTTCTTCAGCGTCGGCCGGAATACATCCAGCGAAGGCTTCTCCGTGGCAAGGGATTCAATCTTGGCCTTTTCATCGAGGACTTCATCGAAACGTGGCTCGACCATGTGCACATATGCCGGTCGGGACTCCTCTGGAAGGCTGGCGATCATTGAACATAGCTTGGCCCAGTGCACATTGGGGTTGGAATCGCGTGTATCCTGGAAATAGTTGTATGGTGACAGGCGAATACCAACTCGGTCGGCACCAATGGCGGCGGTGATTGCTTCGATGACCTCCAGTACAAGACGCGATCGCTTCTCGATGCTTCCGCCGTATTCATCGGTGCGGGTGTTGACATTGTCATGGAGGAATTGATCAAGGAGGTAACCATTTGCGCCTGTTCAATTAGCCATTACGCATATATGCAAGCCTCGAAATAATCTCACCATGAATCTCGACTCCATCAAACCCAGCTTCACGGGCTCGCTTCGCCGCGGCAATATATTCCTTCACGGTTTCTTGAATTTCCTCAGTGGTCATAGGACGCGGTGGCGAAGCTGCATACTCGCTACCATCCAGTGCATTCCCAGCAATGGGAATTTCACTAGCACCAAGGACATCTCTTCCTTCAATGAAAGAAGAGACAGTCGCACGACCGACATGCCATAGTTGACAGTAAATAAAGGCACCCTTGGCGTGCACTGCATCGGTAACCTTCTTCCAGCCCGCAATCTGTGAGGGGGTAAAGATTCCAGGGACTCCTGGGTATCCAGCAGCCTAGTAATGTTAGTCGCAGAACATAGTCCGGGGGTAAAGCTTCACATACATGTCTGCTAATGGGAGTAGCTTCTGTCAACATAAATCCTCCATCAGAAGCACGTTGCGAATAATACTCGACATTGAGATCATTGGGCACATATACACCCTCCGACTCCTTTGACGCTCTCATTCGTGTGCATGGTGCTAGGATGACACGGTGCTTGAGCGGGAGCGCTCCCAGGCGGAGGGACTCGAACAGAGAATCTTTGGTGGCAATTGAACCCATCGTGTATGATATTTTAGGTTTGGTACGCTATGGAGGTAGAGTGTCTACAGTATATATAGCTAATACTCCTATTTACCTCCCGCTTTTGTGTAGAAAGTGGGATGCATGTTGGGATATATTTTAATAGTGGGATGAAGCTCTTGCGGGTCAGCTGTTGATAGTGGCATGCATGAAACACCCCCACTGTAGTTCAGCTCTCCCCCCACCTTTTGTATGGTCTCCTCCTTTTGCTGCAAGTAAATAGACGGGTGGCGGTTTGGTTTTGTTGCTTTTCTAGCAGTTTCGAGTTAGGTCTAGAGAGTTCTCGTCCAGATGAAGTGTACCAGACTTTACAAATCTTGGGAATATAACAGCCATGGATTTCTTAAACAAGATGATGTTTATACTTGACAGTATTGTGGAAAATAAACCATGAATCAAGGCAAAAACTCTAATGTGCTAGAGGGTATACGGATTCATAGAGACAAGAAATAGATGTATACCATCTTGAAATCAGATTTAAGCAAGCCAAGTACTTATTCCTCTATTACAGCATAAACGAAAAATAATTTTTCATCCACTGTCCCGCAATCTCTCCTTCGCCAGTACCCCAGGTATCAATAGCCCCAACATATCCATCGGGTCTAACGATGGCGATACCGGCCTTCTCGCTCTTCAAATCACCAAACCACTTCTGGGTACAACTAGCCTTTTCAGAGTTGTCCAGATATAAGGTCCAGCGACTCTTCTGAAGAAGATCTGGTAGATCTGCGATCTCGAACTCCGACTGGGGAGTCTGTGTCACCATCGCCAAGGTAAAAGCCTCGGAGACTGCCGTGTATCGATGAGACTGAACAAACTCATCAGATGGAGCGTAGCCTCTAGGTTGTTTCCCGTAGGATTGTTCAGCCTGGGACGTAATTTTGGCAAAGATTGTCTTCAGGTCTTTGGTAATACATTGCAGGAATACCATTGACTGGGCAATATCAGGCACGAACGTGTATATTTTGAACTGGCTGAGGAGGGGAATATCCAATTGGATATCGACTGGGTTGGCATCGATATAGCGAGTGACTTTAGCAGGGAGCTGCAACATTCCAGGCTGGAGCCTGCCTGCGTTGGCTGAAGCGGCTGTGAGCATTCCAGGAGAATACTCCGCTCCAACACCGGAGATAAACCGGATATTGTCATCGAAGTTCTTTGACAATGCTGCTTCGCCCTCTGCAAAAGCTTTGCAGTGCTCCACGTCGAAATTGATGAGATCGTATGCAATCTTTTGCCGCTCTTCTTCATAAGTATGAAGTATAGATGGCTTAGCCAGCCCTCTGCTGAGCAGATTGATCTTCCATGCAAGATTGAAGCTATCGTGCATGCTAGTGTTTGCACCTTGAGCAGCAAGTGCTGAGTGACAATGGCCCGCCTATTCAAATGTTAGCTTAATCAAAATCTTGTCTAGTCCGATATCAGGACGGAAACATACATCTCCTGCAATGAAGATCCGTGCCTGCGGATCCATAAAGTGCTTCGCAACGCGTTGTCCGACAACGTAGGTGCCAAACCACTCTACGGAATTCCACTCGAGTTGGAAAGGCTGCATTGCATCTTTCGCGCGTTGCATCACATATTCAGGGGTAGCTTTGGACTTGTCCACTCGCTCGCCGTCCGTTGAGCTCAACTCGACATACAACCTAGTCATGCCCCTTTCGCGTGGGATCCAAAGGATAGACCCGGCGGAGTAAGATCGTAAAGCGACTTTGCTCCATAGATCAGGGAAGTCGGTATTGATCACACCTGTTCGGTCAGTTGTGTTTTGCGTCCAGTGAATTGCATAAACATACCATCCAGCACACCCCAAGCCGCGTTGGTGATTTCTCCCTCTAAATCGGCATCTGGGATGAATCCCCTTACCTTGGACCTTGCTCCATCACACCCAACCAAATAATCTGCTTGGATCTTGTGAGAAGTGCCTGTAGAGATATTTTCATACACGACTTCCAGCTTATTTGTTCCAGATACCCGCGAGCATGAGGTGAACCGACTGTTGCGCGTGACGAATACACCCCTTGACTCCATATCATCAATCATGACCTCCTCAACCATGCCCTGGTGTGCCAGGAGAATATATGGATCGGATGCGCCGACGAGATGCTCGGGGTAATGAGTTTGACGACCTGTTCGGCGAAGGGGTTGATCGACGGTTGATTGCTATTTCTTTTAGCGAAGTTCTTGAGATGGGAATGAGTTCAAATTACCCAGAACGAGATGTCGTGAACTCGAGCTGCATTTTTCAACAGAGGCTCTGCTAGACGGAGTTGTTTGAATGTCTCGATGGTTTTGGGTTGCATTCCATCAGCCTTGCCTGTAGATGTTTTGTCGTGGCGATCATCGAGGATAACTACTGCGATTCCAAAGCGGACGAGATTGCAGCTATAATGCTGTTAGTACACTAGCTGATATTCAGGGCTTCGAAATTTCGACTTACGCTAGCATCAACCCCGATGGCCCGGCGCCCACGACAACGACAGTAGTAGACGCATCGACAGGGCCTATGCGATAACCTCCATGATCTGCGCTTGGTGACATTTTGGGAGTTCAGTGTTATTCAATGCATTCTCTATGTTTCTCTTTCTATTTATTGAAAACGTCTCTCCTCATATGCGGGGGAAACCCCCACTCTTCAACTATCACCATCGTGTCACCCCACCGTCCACCACGATGTCCGACCCCGTCATGTACAAACTTGCATCGCTGGCTAGGAACACACATGCCCCCATGATATCCTCGGGCTCGGCAATGCGACTGTTCATTGCCTCTGATTTCCAGCCCTCGAGAAGGTGGGGGAACTAACTATTAGCATTCACTTTGAAAAATGCTTTTTGGGGACTTACTGATGCTGTCATTTCTGTTTTCACATATCCTGGCGAGATGGAATTGACTCGAATGCCCTGATCTTTGTTAGTCACATGGCTTAATTCAACTGAAGTGGTGCGGTTGACTCACATATTCAGCCAATTCCTTCGCAATGGCAGGACACATAGATCGGACTGCACCCTTAGTTCCGCAGTATGCAGAGCACAACTGGCTGCGCACTGCGATATGGCTGGCCATACTAGCTACCAAGACGATACTACCATGCTTTGTCCCATTTGCGATCATCTGCTTAGCAGCAAGTTGTGCCGTGAAATAAAGTCCCAGCACGTTTATCGAGAGTAAATCCTGGTGGTCCTTGTATGTAAATTCTAGGAAGGGTAGATGGCGATTAATCCCAGCGCATGGCACGCAAATGTCGAGCGCATTGTCGAAGTCCTTCTGGAACCTGGCGAAGCCCTCCTGCAAATCCTGTTCCGACGAGATATCAACCCTTCGGAGATTAGTATTTGAAGTTGTATACTCGGTAAGATTTTCCACATACTTGTAGTAGGCGGTCCGAACACCGCAATCCTTCTCAATTGCGTTAAATGCTTCATCTGGTGGCATAACATCGAAAACTGCGACATTTGCCCCTGCTTCTGCGAGTCCTCGCGCAAATGCCAATCCGCAGCCCCGCGCCCCGCCTGTTACGAGCGCTGTGCGCCCTTTCAGAGAGAACTTCGCTAGTTAGTTCTGACCGGTAGTCAAGATAGAGTATAGAGGACTTACTCTCGACATTCTTCAATATTTCTTTTAGTTTGATGTTGACCTACAGCAATGTCTTCCCCAATGAAGCCTTTTAAAGATATCGGGTACCGGCATTAACAGAACAAGCTAACCCCCATCTTTGAATTACATCGCAGTCGCCAGCGATTACTGCATGACAATGCATCTGATTTAAGTACTCCGACGTCGTGAGGCATTCAAAACTGTCTCGGTACAAATTCACATCTCTCAACCTTTCAAACTTGTAGGGTTACACGCTCGCCATGGCCCCTCAAATCCCCATCAAGCAACAACAAACCCGCACCGAATCATGCAAACTAAAAATTATCATCGTCGGCGCTGGCCTTGCAGGCCTCGGCTCTGCAATTAGTTGCGCCCTCGCTGGTCATGAAGTCCACGTCCTCGAATCAACCCATGAGATCAGAGAAGTCGGCGCTGGGATCCAGGTCTTGCCTAATAGCTCGCGGGTCCTTCAATACTGGGGTCTGCAGGAGGCCCTTGAACCCCATATGACCTATCCCCGAGTTTGCAACTTCCTAGGTTGGAAGGGGAATGCCATCTCTTCTATGGATTTTCATGAATCTGAGAGTAATTACCCTGGGACTTGGTATCGGGATTTTCATCGTGCCGATTTACAACAATGTCTTGTGAGGAGGGCTGCCGAGCTTGGGGTGGTTGTTACTTGCAATGCTCGTGTTGTGGATGTGTCTGTCAGTGAGGATGGGGCGACTGCTACGGCTACTGTGGCGGATGGGAGACAGTGGACTGGGGATCTGGTTATTGGGGCCGATGGTATCTTTGGGAAGTTGACCGAGGGTTTGCTGGGTCGTGTTGATCCTCCGGTTAAGACGGGTGATTTGGCATATCGTCTTCTACTGTCTACCGAAGAGATGCTTAAGGATCCTGATCTTGCGGAGCTTGTTACAGATCCTCAGGTTAACTACTGGTTGGGCCCGGATGCTCATGCTGGTATGTTCTATTCCTCACATTGGAAATCAAAACTAATTGTCTAGTCAACTATGTACTTCGAGGCGGAGAACTATTCAATATGGTTCTACTTGTCCCCGATGATATTCCAGAAGAGTCTCTTGCATCCACAATTGAGGGAAATGTGGAAGAGATGTGTGCATTGTTCAAAGATTGGGATCCACGGTTAGCTTCATTTCATACAAGTTGGAATTGTCAGCTAACAGTCATAGCATCCCCAAACTTCTCAAGCTGTGTCAATCGGTCCAAAAATGGCGTCTCTGTATCCGGTTTGGAGATTTCGACTGGACTCACCCGTCCGGCGCATTCGTCATGCTGGGCGACGCAGTCCATGCAACACTGCCATACTTGGCATCCGGGTACGGATTACCATCTTCGCTGTTTCAACCTCATCTTCTAACAACCCCAGTGCCGGAATGTCCTTTGAAGACGGTGCCGTTCTAGGAGAATGTTTATCCCGTCTCCCAAACAGTCCCAATACCTCCAAGACCTCGGCCGAGTTCCTACAAGCGAAAAAGCACGCCCTTGCCGTCTTCCAGGAATGTCGTAAACAACGCACGAAAATGGTTGTGGAACGAGGCAACATCCAGCAATATCTATATCATCTCCATGACGGCCCAGAACAACAGGAGCGAGATCGCAAAATGCAAATGGTGCCTACACCAGAAGGCGAAGCGTTGGCTTGGCGCGACCCTGGTTTGGCCCCGAAGTTGTTAGGATATGATCATATTGCTGATGTACGTTTCCTGTCCCAACCCACTAAAAAAATTACTAACGAGTATAGGTTGATGCCCATTGGGCAGAGTCGGAAGGTAGTTCAGTTCAGTCTAGATTGTAGTTGTAAATTCATAATATGAAGTTGTTCTCTCAACATCCCTGCATCTCTGCTTATCGGCCACCCCCATTCTTGACACTGTTGGGGTTCACTATGGGGCCGCTGTACAAAGCGTAATTTAATTGATGACCAGCATTATCTTATCGCTTGGTGACCCCGCTCCCCCATTCTCGTGCATCTGGTGATCCCCGCATGAAAATGTATAGTCGGAGGTGGCTAATGTTATATAGAATTGCAATTGCACTACAGATCTACACATCAACATATCAAATTAACGAAGTCATTCCTAACACTATCACCATGTGGAACCTATTTAGCTCACCGGCAAAACAACCCTCACTACCCCCGAGAGGACTCCCAGCATCATGGTACCGCTCAGAAGCAATGTATCAACTGGAACGACGCGCGATCTTTTCTAAACGTTGGATCCTCCTCACCCACTCCAGCCGCTTCAAAAAAGCAGGAGACTACCTCTCCTTCACAATAGCAAACTTCTCTTTCTTCCTAATCCAAGACCGCGACGGCAACATAAACAGCTTCCACAATATCTGCCGACATCGCGCATTCCCCGTTATCCGAGAGCGTTCCGGCACAACCTCTATCCTCAGCTGCAAATACCACGGCTGGTCCTACGGTCTCAAAGGCAATCTATCAAAAGCACCTCGCTTTGACACCGAGACAGTCCCCAATTTCGATAAAACTCAACACTCCCTCTTCCCCGTCCATGTCCACGTCGACAAAGCAGGTTTCGTGTGGGTTAATCTTCAAGCTGGTGAGACAGAAGTCAAATGGGAAGAGGAATATGATAAAATCGACGAACAGCCCCGCATGCAGGATTTCGATTTCGCGGGCGAGTTCTCGTTTGATCATTATTGGGAGATGGAGCTTGATGCCAATTGGAAGGGTGTCATTGAGAATTATAATGAGTGTTATCATTGCGCTACTTCTCATCCGCTCATCAGCGGTGTCTCGGATTTGCCAAGGTATCGGGTTGAGCCTAAGGCGGCTTATATGGAGCATCATATTTATAACAAGGATGCTGCTGATAGTCAGTTTCGGAGGGCTATTACTTATTTTTATCCGACTACTTCGGTTACCGTTACGTGAGTACTTTTAATTCCCGAAGCAAGTGGATAAGAAGTTGAGCTAACGGGATTAGGGATAAATTCTTCTACATCCAGCGTATGATTCCGGTCTCTGCTACGAAGAGTAAAATCGAGAATGAAGTTTATCGTCACCAAGATGCCACGGATGAGGAATTCGAGAATATCAATGCCTTTTACAGACAGGTCCTGGATGAAGATAAGGAGCTCTGCGTTGGAACACAAGAGAATCTAGGTGGCGGGGTCTTCACCAATGGTGAACTACATCCTAGCAAGGAGAAGGTATGTATACATTACCAGATAATTGATGAGACGTCCTAATATCTGAATAACAGGGACCGATACACTTCCAAAGCAGCGTGAGGCAAATGGTCATGGAACACCGACAAAAGGAGGAGAAACAAGGCGGGTCTGAGATCTGGCCCGCGGTCCCGATCACAGCCTCAACCAGTAAATTCGATGAAGAGGAAAGCTTCTGTCTAAAGTTGGATGCGGCGAGTTGTACGTCTAGACCCGGGTTGGCATGGTGATGCGATCAGTGTAACAGAACAAGTTATGTTATTATATGCACTTATTTCTAGCTTGTCGGTCCACCATGTATCTATAGATGTCAGTACAGTGGAAATTCCAGTAGGGGTCAAAGGGAAGAACTTATCAGGTACCTCAAACGCAAGGCCATCTCGACTTTGCGTAACCAAGTGATGGAATTGTAGAACAAATCGCTGGGGGGAGAGGACGTATTTATAGACTTCTCGGCTCCTGTCGCGTACGTGCTCTGCTAGGTAGCAACTATTAAAGGACACGGTGCCTATCCTAAGTGAGGCCTGTTGCAACCTATACCTTCGTTCTACCGCGACTATTTGCAGCGAAATTCTTGATGCGATTTTAGATGCCCACCGAGAAAATCATGCTAGTCATGTTGAGAATAAGTGGAATTGAGTCGGTTAAGAAACGTTGGCTCACTGTCAAATTTACGGTCTTCTATATTGAGACACTGGAAGCTATTCAATCTTTGTTCTTACGAAAGAGCGCTCACATTTTCATCACTAAGGATCATGGATCTTTTCCCTGGCCTCGTTTGAGTGTTGGTTGTCTGAGCTGTGTGTGGTTCTGTCCGTCTAGACTGTGGCAAGCGTTAGGCACGGTCGCGCGGGGGCGGGTCCTCGACCCGCCAACCTGTTGAAGCTTGGCCTTTCCAATCAACTGGGTCGTCCGTATAGGCAGCTCGGACTTCATTCCGACGATGCGGCTTGGTTCCTAATATGCACCAGCCTTATGTCACAACAGATACAATCAACTTTCTTAAAACTTTCTTGCAATGATATATGAATATCACCGGGAATTATTGCGCTGGCCCTTGCAAACCAAAACAGTTGTAGATAACAGTAATTTAATAATGTGAATCAGCAAGTTTATGCGGCTTGGCATGGCCTAATTAGGTCAGTTGTGCAAAACGGTTTTTCTGCGGTTGACCGCGGTCTAACCATGCGGGTTTGCGGTGCGGTGCGGTTGGCACATTGCCTAACCACGTTTATTGCGGCTAGGGGTGCGTTTAGGCTTTACCCAACCATGCAGCGGTTGTCGCGAGGTCTAGTACTATTAAATATAGAGCTACGTCACATGACCAGATTGGTCAGAGTAACAAAACAAGTGGCCCAGATGAGCTATGGTTGGCCCGGATTTGATTGGGCTGTTCAGTGGCTTGTCTCGGTGTTACGATGAATGCACCTATAAGTACCGGATTTTCCCTAGTAGATGCTTTCTAGTATCTAGATCGACATCTTTCGTTCAAATCAACCGAGCTCCCGATCCTTTGCATAGAAACCAAAATTTGCAGACGAGTCGTACTACGAGAGAAACCCATTGAACAAAAGAACTTGCGAGTTGATTGACTGTGCCAGGATATCTTCAAGAGATATTAGGTTAATCTAGCTATCAAATTTGCAACATCTTCCGGTTTATCTTCCATAGGGAAATGGCCCGCATTGTTCAGCCATATTCCATCTGATGCCCAGTCTGCCATGTACTCCTTGCCAATTAGATGAACAAGGGTCTCTTTGTAACCTTTTGGCAATGGATCGCGGTCTCCGAATACGACAACAATCTTCAGTCTCTCCTGTATGGTTTCTTTCACGTCTTCCCGTTGTTTCTCTTGCCAGTAATATCTTGCAGTGTCAGCCCTTTCTGATAGAAGAGCCAAAGTGTTCAGGTCACTGAAGTTTCTCGGACCACAAATAGCTTCACACACTTTCCACAACGGTGTCTCACGGATGTATTTCAGGAAAAATTGCGGCAATGCAGTACCGATATGTGCAAAATGCTCAGTGGTGGGCTTAGCGTACGCGGGTAGGTGCTGGTACGGCGCACTGTAGGCTTCAATATCTCCCTCCAAAATTTGCGGGGATATGAGTCGCATGATAGTGGTTTCAGAGATGAAACCATCTAAAACTTTACTCATGAGGAACCAAAGACAGTAGAGAAGACCACAATCTCGACTCATCTCGTCAGGACGGTGCGGTAAAAATGAGTTAATGAGGAAAAGGCCGCTGCATGAGGACGATGGAAGATGAGGGATACAGCAAAGAGCCACGCACCTGCTATATCGTTAGCAATACTTCCGCAAGAAAAAGTTTTAGTGAAATGTAGAGTCAGGAAGAGCTACGTGCCAAGCACATGCTAGTGTGGAGATTGCAAGGAAGTCAAAAGGTTACTTACCCACCCCAACTGTGCGCTACCATTATGACATTTTTAAGTTGCAATTGGTTGAAAAAAGCACTCAAAGTCCGCATGTGTAGCTCGAATGTAATAGAATCTCGGCGCGGCTTGTCACTTCGTCCATGACCAAGCCAATCCAGGGCATAAATCTCGTGACCCTCTTCGAGAAATTTTGTCATGACCTAACATTGGTAAATGTTAGCCTTTTCTAGAATTGAGGATAATCTAGCCGTTGCCTCTCCAGTTGATTGTTCTTTTGACTGATCAATATGGGTTATCAGATTCAAACATACCCGTCTCCACATGTAGCTCCAACTCCGGCTTCCATGTAAAAACACGATAGGCCTCTTAGATGAACATCCACTTTTGCTAGTATAGGCTGCAGCCGGCGTCAAGTGAGCAAATCTCACTCTTGCGCCTCCGACAAGAAACTCTTTTGTAATGTCATGCCACAAGATATCGTTCATCCACTGCTTTCCTGACCGGTCGACTCTGATCATCTCATGATCTCGGAAGATATATTTCCCCTCAAGCTGAAGCTGCGCCTTCATCGCCCACTGTCTCCTGTAAGCGTCTGTGCTCTCGATGAGCTTGTTCCATTGAAGCAAAGACCGAATATTTCCGAGAGCAGTTGAGAGGGAACGAAGCAAAATTTGCACAAGATAGACAAGAAGAAGGACTCCAATTCCACCCAGCCGACATATAGTGAATGATAAAAGAAAAATACCAAGTACTTCGCAGGTAGAGCTTATGGCGGCTGTGGGCTGTACAGTAGCTAGGGAAAGAAGGTAGCTGGTGGAGTGAAGCACTGTTGCTATTCCAGCCCGTGGAAAGTCCGACCCTATCTTAGGGGCTGTTGGTATCCATTGACCCCAGGCCATGATGCGGAAAGCGACGGCGAAATTGCTGTTTAAAGAGCCCGTTTCGAGAGGCAAATTTGTGACATTGACCTCGCAACAACAGAAACTTGGAAAGTGGAGGGGGAAATGACTATATAGCCGATTCTCCAGTAATTTTGCCCTAGCTCTCCTACTTTGACATTCCACCATGACAGTAGATCCTTATCTCTTTCTGCCCCAAAGAGGGAAAGGCATGTGATATGTAAGTGCCACTGTTGTAATATAAACTTTTCTCTTGCTCCGGCATTACAAGTCAATCCCTTCATACCTCATAATTTATTTTGTGTAGCTGTCGAGGATTTTGCAAATAGGGTGGGCGTCTTGACGGCTCGGGCTTGAGGACCAATCGAAGATTGTAGGTAGTGGCGCGGGCCTCAGGAAGCACTGTTGCTGACAGCGCTCCATGTCAAGAGATCATCTGTGAAAGAATCTCCGCTCGAGGCCTCCTGATATAGATAGTAAACCAGAAAGGACTTAATGTGCTTTTACTGCAGTTCGATACTTGCCTTCGAGTCAATATTTGGTCGGCGTATTATGTATTGTGTACCCAAGCTGAACACCCAAGTTGGGGGATTGTCGAAATAATTGCTCACCTTGGCTTACGTCCGTAAATAATTCTAGATCAGGACTGCCAATATTTATCTCATCTCCAGCGACATTTGTGACCTTCAGTGCGAGGTTTGTCTCAATTTAATTTCAATTCAATATGGTGGTTTGATAAGAGATCGAATGCGCAAAGTTGTAAAAATCCGAGATCCATAGTGGACATATGATATATCTGACAGGAACAAAGGGGACAATTTGACAGTCCTCACAAGAGCCAGAGAGGGATATTATACACAGAGGATGCTTTGGTGGTTTCTCCACTCTGACTACCATCGACCCATGTCTCAAATATCTCACTTTCTCCGCCAAGCTGTTTTCCGTAAAGGAGAACTCATTGTAAAGCAGTTTTGGTATTTCATGTCATATACTTGCCCCATATGAATGTGAGCATACGTGGTGTGTTCCCAACATACCAGAAGAACAAACACTTGGTATGGGCCTTGGATACGAGATAGAACAAATTCCCCTTTCGGGCTATTTAATAAGGTTTAGATAACGAAATTCTTTTTAGGCGACATCAATACCGTATATCACCCCCTTTGCCGCATTGAAGCAAGGGCAGATCGAACTAGGAAAAACAACCTTGTCAATCATATCTAGGTTTTTATTGACATGCAGCTTTATTGGCCGGATAAAATAGCCATCCACAAACTACACATGTGGCGGTTACTCGATTTCTAGGGCAGCCAACTCCAGTGACTGCCTTCAGCATGCAACTTGCTAGAAAGCAACCAACCGCTTTCCGAGAGATGGCGTCATTTTAAAATTGTTTAATTAGAATATGGAGGAAGGTGCGATGTCAAGGATGTTGGCCGACTCCGTGTGCTCGGCTGTTAGGTCCGGTAGCGAGTCTTCAAGCAATCTCGATTGCAGTCGGAGGTATCTAAGAAGCATACTAGGTATGGTCCCTTCATGGGTGATTTGCTTAATATCGATTATGTCAATGAAATTCATTCAGGAAATGCTGTTCCGCAAAGAAATTCACTAGCTTTCTGTTGGTATTTGGGCTCTGCAAATCTCGCACTCACCATCCGGAAAAGGGAAATAGAACGTAGAGCTAGACCCTGGGATTGTTCATTGCATTCTACCAGTAATTTAGAACCGTCCGCTGGAAACAGCATATCAACCATGTCATTGACTGGAACAGTCACTTTATCGTTAGGACAAAAAGGAAAAATGCACACTTATTCTTCTCCACATTCTGCTTGCAAAGAACGTAGGGGTGGTAGTCCTCAGAGCCTACACATCAAAATATTCACGCATTTCAATTCTAACTCCACTTTCTAGCAGATAAAGGTCGACTTTTCGCAATTTATCTCTCTATCCTTCATCCCTTCCCTGTGGAAGTCAGCCCAGATGATGCCAGCGGCATTCGACGATCTCTATATAGAGATTGAACCCACTCAAAATGCTGACTATCTTTCCACAGCATGGAAATGGGAAGATATCAGAGCTACTAAAATTTACATACACCGGCGACGAGCAACACTGCCGAACTTCCGGCGGTTAGAGAATGCTCTCTGGAGGGCATGGATGCAACAGTCGCAGAATATCCCATGCGTTTCATCCACACTACTTCACTGGTAGGTATAATGATCCAGTGTCAATGGAATAGAAACCAACCAACGTTGTTCATAGGGACAAGGAGACTGATACAACTTGGCTCTTCGGGCCCCGCAAATGTTCCGCTTCTGACCTATCGGGCGCCACGCCTGGTCTCTCTGAAAAGAACATGACATCTCTCAAAGTTGACGCGAGAAATCCTAGAAAACCGGGAATATTACATTTTTCGGAGCATTGTCAAGTACAAAAACTGCTTGGTAACGTATGTTTACTTCAGATATCTTTTGAGCACACATTAATTTCTTTTGAATATGCAGAAGCATCGTGTTCGTGAAATTTCGAAACGAGTCAGCTTTAAATACGAGGTTGAGCAAGTCCGCAGCCTCCCGGAGCCCGTGTACGACTTCACCACTCTCTTGAATGATTATGAGGCACAAAACAGTGTTATGACAGATATGGAACTCAATCATTTACGCATGGTGTTGATTTATCAATAGTGGTATCACACCATATTTCTGTTACCACCGACCGATCTCAAGGGCATTGAGGACATTTACCCTCCGTCCTTCTTCTCTAATTCGAATTTCTACACCGATGAAGTCACCCTGTAGGTTGTCTCCATTGTCTAAATACATCTTGAAGAAGACTTTAAAATAAATATAAATATTAGACGCTCCACAAATGTAAGTATATCTCAAATTATCAATAGCCGCGCCAATCTAGATTAATGTGTTTTGGCATTAGGGTCGGAGAATCTATTGAAGAGTGTAGGTGGGCGCACCGGTTTGGGAACGTACCGCAATTGCCGCCTTGCTCGCCAGATTTCAACCCCATCGAGGAATTTTTCGCCGAGCTGAAGGCTTATATCAAGAAATCGTGGTCGGCGTACGAAGCGAATCCCAACCAAGGGTTTCATGTCTTCCTTCGGCGGTGTGTTCATGATGTTGGTGCGAAACGACAGAGCGCAGAGGGTCATTTTCGACATACAGGTATAACGACAGAAAGGGCGTAAGTGATTCTCGCAGTGGAAGAATGTGTGCATAAATTGCAAGTCTGATAGAATGACAATATATTTGACCAGACGATTTCTTTCGAGAACAGAGCTTTTTCATTTGGAGAGAAAGATCATTACGTAGAATACGCGAGATATTTAACCGTACACATAAGAAAAATGTATCGTATACTGTAGTAGTCAATGCATATCCAGTTGTTATATACGCCGATGATATAAATGCAACTATCAATGTCCAAAACTAATATGTCTTTAACGCCCAGAAAATTCGTTTAGTCAATCTATTACGGGGCCAGCCACAGTGGGGTAAGACCGTATTCTATTCGGCACAGCCAAGTCTTTCACTATCCTTCTAGTCAAGTTCGTTTAATCGTTTGATCTCATAACAGTAGCCCATTCGTTAATATCGCGTAGGAAGCGACGAGCTGTCCCAATCCGGATCCCTCTTTAAACAAAGAAGCCAGAGTCTAGGTCCTCAAGAATCAGTTCAATATCTAGGTAGTTTTCCAATATCACTTGGCATATTTTCCGGAAATCAGCTTTGTACGCCTCGTCGGTGGTGCGTGATTCCAACTATTTGCAGTATTCTCTCACAGCAGCTTCGCGAGACCTAGGGATGACGACGTGGTCGTTAGATAGAAGCCTACGTAGAGACGAGGTAACCGCGGCGGTAACCCTATTTTGTGCTAGCAGAACATTAATGATGCTTGGAGGATATGGTGGCCCAGTTGTCAGCATCTCAGTTTTTTTCGATTTCCTTCCTATCTGACTTTCCAGAACTAGATCTCGATGGATATCACTAGGGACACCCTCGTGACTGTCTAGGCTGCCGCCACCACCAACATAGTCAATCAGACGTTCTAGGTGTGGGGCCCGCATTTTATAGTGTTTCTTGTCCTTGGGGTCTTCCTAGCACCAATCAGACTTGAGCGGGCATGAACGGACATCACACTCCTTTATGCTCGACAAATGCGATCGAGAGAAGCGGATGTGATGTACACTTCTACGCTCAGAGGCAAACTGGATACTTTGGGCGCTGAGCACCCCTCTACTCTGATGACAATGCACAATGTTAGAAGTTTCTACGCTGACGAGGGCAAAGTGGAGGAGGCGGAGGTGCTTTATTACACGGCCCTATTAGGAAAGCTTAGGGTTCTTAGCCCTGAGTATATATCGATACTAAACACTATGAACAATATCGGCATTCTTTATCGCTACAACGGTATACTCGTGTAGGCTAAGAGGATATACTAATTGGCCTTACTAGGGGAACTTAAGACCCTTAGGCTAGATCACGTATTTACTCTTGAAACATTCACTAATCTGGGGTGTCTCTATCAAGCGCAAAGTAGATTGAAGAAAGCCCTAAAAATGCATAAACGCGCTTTGGTAGGCCGCGAAAGTATATTAGATATCGATAATATAACCACTCTTAATATAGTTAACGACCTTACGGCCGTTTATTATGCCCTATCAAAGATAAAGCTAGGAAGTTATATTAGCGAGTATTTCGAGGTTATAAAGATCAACTTAGGCGAGAGCATTATAAGACTTAACTAGCGGAGTTCCGGTGGAGAGTTTCCGTTCACCACTCGGAAACTACCGGAGGGAAGATGATACTTAAAATTCTTTTCCGGATGTAAACAGTGAAAACAACTTTGCAAATATTTGCTGTCTTTAATGTCATTATCATCTTTCGTGTGGTTATTCAATGTTCTTGATGCAATAAAAACCAATATTGAATGGTCTGATTGTGCCCATCTTTCTAGCGGATGTATTGCTTGTAAGAGACCCATGATGGACGGGCAACTATGCGATCAAAGTATCAACTCTACAAGGTTCGCAAATTCTGTACCAGGCTCATTTATCATCATCCTGTCTTAAATCAATCTATTCACTGTATGAGCGGCTTGAGATGCCAACTTGGTTCTATAACAAAGTCAGACCGTGCACAAGTTCCTACAATCCGGAAGGCACAAAATATCTGGCAGTGGATTCTCTAAAAGGTAGCCTAGCCAGGCTGCAACTTTCAAGACCCAAAACACCCACGATAATAAACCGGTTGGGCAAGAAAGGTGGGGTCTAGATGCCAGGGCCGACATGAGGGGAAGTATACGCAATGCACGCTCGATCTTCCTGGCGTGCTTGCGCTAAAAAGGCAAATCATTGGGTCCTTGACAATGAAGCTCACTCAAAAATGACGCGATGACTTGGTGAGGGGCATCATAACTCTTGTCTGCGGGGATAGTGGTTCTCTTGGCATAGGAGCGGATTCCACGGGGTCGGCTGCGGGAATGATCCACACCCACCCCACGCCGAGAGGAATGCTCGGCGTGGCGCAGTGATGGTTTTTTGAGGTCAACAAATTGCAGATCGGGGTAAAACGGTAAAACACACAACTTCAATTTCGATGCATCAAGTTAGGATCATCCTTACAGATAAGAACTTGACACACAACGGTGACATTCCACTCCTCGGAGAAAGACTTATCCAATCCTGCTTACATTACTCTGATACAACTTGTGATGGTGAACCTCTCTACATTCAAAATGTACCTAAGAATATTAAAGTAAATTGGCTTCCACAATAATTCTATCGATCACTGATTAGATCGTTCCAATCGATTCGATTCATTAAATATCCCTGGATTAATCTGGTCACATGGTGATGTCACAAGCCTTAGACCATCCCTGGTTTCAAGCCAAGTTTATGAACTCCGCCACGTTTGCTAACCAGCCGATGGGAAGGAATCTGAATACTTACTCAGCAATAACCCAAACTGCATGCTACTTGGCATTTCCCAGTATAGGGGGTCAAACTTGATGGGGTAATTGGGCTCTGCCGAGCCTGAAAGGTACCAAGACCCCGAGAAGCAACACGACTATCGTTCCTTGGCGTGTATTATTGCTTTTTCGGGTATGAACAGTACCTTAAACCTGGAGTAGATATTATTCTATATATGTTGTAGTATAGTCTTGGGGATGGGCATCTTATAAATTCATATGATTCCGCTGAGTGATGGCACTGATGTCCTAGATTAACCGTAGACAAGCAACGAACGAAATATATCGTTCCAGAGGACAACGCCAAGAGTTGGCCGTCGGCAAAAATCGGTTTGGAACAGCCTTCTAATCAACGCCAAGAAAGAGTTTCGAGGCTGTGTTATCGGAACTCAGCCGTTGGCATTGCATAGATAAGACTCACTAGCGATGAACCACCGACCACGCTTCCGGAGATCTTTCTTGGCAACCGGTCTCACTCCAGATCTTGGGAACTATGAACGGACTAGTTCCGGTGGGCAGGTCGATCCCCAGGCGAGATAAACTTTACTGACGTTTTCAGGGGCCAGAACAGCCGATGCTCTTTTTCCAGCACATTTTATTAGCTACAGTGGTTATATGCATCTTTGCACGACAATGTACGATAGCCACGAGGACATACAGACATCGGATAAATTATTGGCAACTCAAAATATTTTAAATCGTGATTCGGTCTATTGCTGTCTACGCCATAAGCAAGCGCCAATCAATCCAGTAAAGCATAATCAAGCCGCCAAGATGATTTGCTTGTAAAACTGCAATTTCAAATCCGCAAAATGAAGAAGCCTAGCGATCGGCTCTTGACAAACTCCACTGACCTACGGCAAATACCGAATCACTGGTTTCCGGGCGTCTTAATATAGTTTGATTCCTGATAGAGTCCGGGGAGGGAAAACGCATGCAGCAATGATGATCGTCACGCCAAGATCAAGCCGAGATTCTGCCAGATCAATCCAATTCCGATGTGAAAGCAAATCAGTCTGTTCTGTTGGGAAAAAGTGATCATTTTTTCCAAATTTTAATTAAGATGCTCAGATTGACAGTGATTGCATAATGACTGTGTACACTGAAGGCAAAGCTGGCCTCGATATAGATTCCGTTTGGCTCAACATATATCTACCGCCGGTATAACATTTGAACAGCGTTAGGTAGTAGGGATGATGCAGGTATTATTGTTTCATGTCACCGGGGTATTATCTTCTCTCTCTTGGCGTTGATCCAGTGTCTTCCTTGCATGGGGGGCATCGGAATAAATGCGAAAACTGGGTCATTATTAAAGACCAACAACTCCGTTGGGTCTCATCTATCAGTCCGTTCTCTTTCGTCCACAGCACTTGTTCATTGCAGTAAAATTATCTTAAAAAACAGTATCGGAACCTTATATATACGCATACATACCATAATGCACGGCCAGCCTCCCTCCGCTTCGGGCAACATAGATCCGCCCAAGAACATTGCGCAACACACCCCTGGAACCCCTCCTCTATATCCAAACGATCTCGCCGCAACAAGTTTTCGTTTGGAGCCTACCAATGATGAATCGAAGTACACCCCCGGTCTTTGGTCCTCTGGAGGCAGCACTGCGGTGTCTCTCTCCGGCATCCCGACCCAAGAAGCCAACACAATGCCGGCAACTCTTTCGCGCCACTTCCGAGCAAATATAGACACCACGCATACCGACATCGTTCTAATAATATGCGGTTTTGTTGGTGGATTGGTGGATGGTTTATCATTCAATGCATGGGGAAGTTTTTCAAGTATGCAGACAGGTATGTATTGTCGGTCACGTCCGAAGTTTCTCTTCACTCCAATTAGGATGCGAAATACTGACAAGGTTAAATAGGAAACACGGTGTTCTTGGCTCTCGGTGCGTCTGGCCAGCCTTCCTACCCGGCGTATCTTTGGGCGAAGTCCTTGATTGCCATCTCCGTCTTTATCGCAAGCAATGTCTTCTTCATCCATATGCATCGAATCTTGAATCCCCGACGCCGCTCAACGATGATAATTTCATTTGGCATCCAGACTCTCGCTCTCCTGGCTACTGCTGTTCTCATCCAGCTCGACGTTATTAACCCGAAGCCTGAGGATCCCCGCGTCCCAATAGAGTGGATGCAAGTCCTACCAATTTCACTTTTATCATTCCAAGCAGGCGGCCAGATCTGTGCTTCAAGGATCCTCGCACTAGATGAAATACCGACAGTAGTCGTGACAACACTCTTATGTGATCTTCTTGTTGATCCTAAATTGACTGCAAAATTCAATCTAAAGCGGAATCGCCGGATAGGAGCATTCCTCGCATTGTTTTTTGGCGCTATGACAGCTGGTGGACTCTACAAGTCTACAGGTATGGCAAGTAGTATATGGCTTGCCATGGGGTTGAAGTTGGCAATCACCTTGGGGTGGGTCGTTTGGCGACGGGAGGGGAGGAGAAAGAGTGATGTGGATGTGTGATTTAATTGTGTTTATTTCTCTGACTCTTTTTCATCAGACAATAAGCGGGCATATACGTGAGCTTTGAGATTATATGGATAAACGACTGCATATGGTTTATAAAAATATTATTTTGTCGGCTTTCCCATTTCTCATTTCCCATAAAGCACTGTAAAGCTATGCATACTGAGAGACATCCATGGATGACAGAGGGTTACATAAAATAAGTCCAGCTCGGGTGAATTTTGCGTAGGTGATACAGAGAATGCCTTCTTTGGAAATGCTGTGTTCGATTCTCTGCTCTCCATATGCAGGACAGTCTGGCAGGATAAGGATCAGGGCTTCAACAGGGTTTTGGATATTAAAACGAATGTTATCCAATTGAAATTGATCTGCTTCCAGAGACCAAATGTCAATGCAATATTCAAATCAAATATTATTCAGATCAAGTGTCCAACCGTTGACAGAAATAATGAATAGATACATGACACTCAAGAAAGATAATAGGTCATATCCCGTCGCACATCCAAGGAAATTATACCCAAATGGATGTCTTACTTGTTCAAACCAAGCGGGTTCTCAGCGGTCTGCTTCTTCCCTCCAACACTTGATATCCCGTTTTGAATTCCCTCGCCAGCACCCTTAGCAGTATTCCCCACGCCCTCGGTGGCGCCCGAGACTGTTTGGCCAAGGCCGGATGTTGCGTTGCCGACTGTTGAACCTAGGCCACTGACTGTGCTGCCTAGTGTGTTTGTTACGCCGCCGACTGTTTTACCGACTGTGTCGCCTAGGCCGCCGAGGAGCCCGGCTAATTTAAATATTGTTAGTATTGTGGACAATGGGGCATGGATGGTTGTTGGTGGACCCACGGTTCTGCTGGTTGTTGTTGTTGTTTGACATGATGTAATAATATGAATAGGATGGAGGTTGTAGAAGATTGTGGACTGGTGTTTAGAAGTGATGATTATTTATTGAATATGAATAGGGACAAGTCGTGATTGTAGCATATATATATCACCGCCACGTGTGCAAAACCGGTTGCAAAACCATGATATAATGGGTGCGACGTCGACCAAGCCACAGACCTGTCATATGAAGTCCACCTCAGGGGGGAAATTAATTCTGACGAATCAGAATATCAGACAAGAAGGTCAATCATGGATAGCTACTTGATCGGATTTAATATTATACGATCTGACGTCTGACGTATGATTGTTCCCCGCGTGGAATGGAGATGGATTTGATCATTGGTGGGTTAGTCTGGTGGCTGATATTGTTTGCATGAAGTTATTTATATTAAAGTATTGTGGCGAATGAGAGATGAGTGGTGAGGATTTGTTGTTGCGATGTTGTATTTGGGGAATGATGTCATTTTATACGACTGAGTGGAGTTGGCACGTCTCTCATAGTAATTGTGATCTCATGTCGCCAAATCATCTCAGATGGACATAGATCTTCTTCTTTGGAGATTTTAGGAGAAGTTGCCTCGCAGGCTTTGTCTGTACTATCACACAATGCTCCCGAGTGCTAGTGAAATAATCACAGACTAGACTTCCCTCGAGACTCATACGGCAACAGCAACACCAAAAGTCCAGCGGCAATGAAAAGCGCCCCGCTCACATATACCGGGGCAGAGGTTTGGAGATCTGCAAACATCGCGATGATAGGCGCCATGATGCCAAAGATCCGATTCGCAGACGCGGTCAATGCATTGCCCGTGCCTCGATCCTTGGTCAAAAAGATCTCAGGGGTGTACGCGTAAAGCACCGCATACAAAAGACTGCTCATAAAGTTGAAGGCGCAGTTCCAGCCAAGTAGAGCATTGGATGTGGTCGCAGTTGTCGAGGCCAGGAGGAAAGCTCCCGTCAATGCCGTTGACGTGCTCAAGGCTCCTTTCCGGCCGAATCTCGGTAGCTCCACTAGGAGTCCACCTAGGAGACAACCGGGGATACCCACGACGGCGATTATCAGTGAGTTACGGTAGGTGATATATGTTGAACCATCTCCGAACTCAGCGCCTCGCGACTGTTGGATATATGGGAGGAAGGCGTTGTACAGTGGGAATCCAAGGCCGATGAAGGCCCAGATTAGGATGATTAGACTTGTTGACCACGCCCGCTTTGGTGTGTCGAACAAGGCGCGGATATGATTGAATCGCACCTTCTCCAGGCGCTGGCGGACGATATGTGTGGCTGAGACGTGTTGCACCCCGCCCTGATCGAACTCATCGAGTTCCGCCTGAGACAGGTCTGACGTCTTTCCATTCCTACTCGCAACCTCGTGCACGACTTCAACCGCTTCCACATTACGCCCTTTCCCCATGAGATATTTAGGCGACTCATAAATAGTGAAGAAAGCAAACCGTATCACAAACATGATCATGGCAAGCCCACCCATCGCGATGAGAAAGTATCTCCATCCCATATTATCAGCTTTAGTGCACCCATCGCCAGAATCACAAGTCCTGTACCCGAGCAAAGGCCACGCAACCAAGTTGGCAAGCACTTGCGCAAATGCCCAGTCAATAGACAAGATCGTCAACAGGTATTGATGCGACCCAGGCAAGAACTCGAGAAAGATAGCCGAGTCAACCGGTAAATTCCCACCCACACCAATAGACCAAAGTGCTGCAAATACACACGCAGCGCCGAAGTTTGGCGATCCAGCTGCGACCAATCCAAACACAGCCGTGATACCGATTGTCAAATTGAAGGCCCATCGCCGACCGAAGATATCACATCCAAAGCCCCAAAACATAGCGCCAATCAACAACCCAATGTTTTGTGCTAGGGTAAGTAACGGCGCTTTGGACGGGTGGAACTCGTAGGATAATGGTGGGAGAATCAGAGATGTGACAATAGGCCAGAGATTATCGCTTGCCCAGCCGAATCCGATCACTACGAAGAGTTGCCATTGGTAGCGACCCATACCAATGTTTTGGATTGCGCGGTTGAGGACTTCGGCTTTGCCGATATAGCTTTTGTTGCCATGAGGTTCTTGTGTGTCATCAGGTTCTCGGGTAGTTGCTTCGGTTACTGTTGGCTCGGGGCTGGGCCTTTTGGGCGAGGTTGACATGTTGAGGTGTTGACACTGGAGCAAATAGAGGGAGGTTCTGTTATTCTATTTAGGTTGGCAAAGGTTGCGAGAAATAAGGGGAGTTTGTCATCGTGTTCGAAGGATTCAGCTCTAACATGTGGGTGGTGAAATTTTTCAATGTCGTGGAAGATCAATTGGATGTGGCTGGCGTGATTGCCCTGCATTGTTGTGTCACTCCCTTCCCCACATCACGTGGGGTGTTTCTCGAGTTGCAAGGTATTAGTTGCAAGGTATTAATATCTGGGATAAACCAAGGTGTCGGTTATTCTGATCAAAGGGCAAGTATATTGTGCGCTGGCTAGACATCCGATCTATATACAAAGTGGAGCCCCAGGTGAGGTTGCCGCACACCATTACCCTTTTCGGTCATCAATCAACCTGCCTAAGACGAAGTAGCTTGAGCACCAGCAAGCGAGCTGTAAGGAGTGGCACCAGGATAGAACGAAGTAGGAATAGCAGGAATAGGAATAGACGAGGCAGTACCGAAAGCCTTCTTCAGATCCGAAGCCATAGTCGCAGCAGAGTAGCCAGTAGGGGCAGACTTGACAGTAACAGTGGTGGTATACGAGGTGTAATCCTCGCTATTCTTGAGGCATTCACCGGATCCATAGGCGCTCTCGCAGGTGTTGACCTGGTAGGAGCCAGACTCGGTCCACATAGCGAAATCCTCGATGGTCACGTCCTTGCAGGGCGCTTTGGCGGCGCACTTGACCTTAACCGGGCCGCGCTGGGCGCCGTTGGCTTCGGTTCCCTTCCAGTTCTTGACTGTGACGTTGGTCAATTGGACGCCGTCGCCGGAGACTTTGCTCATGCTGCTCCAGGCGCCGTCGATGTCGAGGGAGTAGGCGTTGCCGTGGCCTATATCTATTAGTATTTCTAGAAAGATAGTTGGTGAATGAATTCTTACCGATGAAGTTCTCCAAGAGTACGTTCTCAACGTTGCCACTGCCACCGTTGCTCTTGATCATGTACATCTGGTTGGACGACCAGGTGTAGATGTTGCGGTAGGTGATATCGGAGACATCGACACCAGTGCCGAGGGAGCCCATGGCGCAGCCACCACTCCAGTTGCAGTAGACGTTCTCGACCAGGATGTTCTTGGCGGGGCTCTATCATGTTGTTAAATGTACTACGTCGCGGCAGCGGGAACCAAGACAATCATACCTTGACAGTCACACACTCATCCTTGTTGGTAACCTCGACCTACTCTTATTAGAATCAACCCCATATTAGAATAATTATCAGTCACGCACATCATGAACCCAGATGTTGGTAGACCAAACATCAATACCGTCAAGTCCACCCTTGTCACCACCGCGAATAGCCATGTTATAGACCTCACCATTCTGACAAGTATCAAGCGAAAGGTGGAAAACAGGGGCATCGACAAGAGCCAAATCATGGACCGAGAAGTCTGTAACATCATATAGTCTTAGGATACGAGGGCCACTAGTCGATCCGGACTTGTGGAACTCATATCCTAAGCCCTGGATAGCACCCTTTGAGGTCGAACTGAACATCTCAAAATTGGTGGTGTGCTTGACCATGATCATGTTTCCACCATCGGTACCAGTCCGATAGAGAATACCATCTAGCTGAATAGCAGTGTTCTTACCACTGCTGAGAGTGACCCACGACGAGAAAGCGTAGTCTCCAGGCGGGATGTACACCACACCACCGTCTCTGCAGGCAACCCAGGCTGAGTTCAGAGCCGAGCCGATATCGGTCGACTTGTCTGCAACGGCGCCGTAGTCGAGGACGTTGCAGACCTTGTTCGCGGACTTCGTTGCGGCGGATGTTGTTGGGCCGACGGAACCGCTCAAATAGGCGTTTGCGAGCAATGGCGCCAGGCCGATTGCGAAAAGAGATCGAATAAACATGTTGAATACAAAGCACAAAATACAAATGAAAGAAGTGAAATGAAGGAATGGTTTGGAAGGACTCAAAATCCGGGCTGGGATTGACTATT